TGTTGTTCTGAAGTGCAGGAAGTGACACCAGAGAATTTTTGAAACGCCAAGGCAACTTCAACAGAAACTGGCACACAATTAACCTATCGCATCAGAGTTTTGTCTGTGATGCCCCGTCCATGTGTGAGTCCCCCAATCGATTTCATGCTTCGCATCAGACATTGCTCAATGATCATGTCACTCCATGTTCCATTCCAAAAAGTCTCCGATCTCCTTATAGTGAAAAACCCTTCTGAAGTAAACTGCGTAAACTCTCTTGGAGACAGTTGGGACTCGAGCTCCATCATCTTCTGAACATATAAATGAGTAGATTTAGCATATAATACATGTCCTGCTGAGTGAAAATATGGTAACATCTTGGCAACAGTAGATATATGTAGGTCCCAGTTGCCTGTTCTCTCAGCTCTTATAAACTGAAGAACAAGTACTACTTGCTTGAAATATTTTATCCACAATCTTGGTGTTCTTCCCATACTTTTAATCTCCTCACACTTTGATTCAAATTCTTCACAAAACTGTGTAACATCGTTGGACTGCTTTACCTCTTCTGGGGATATCTGGTTTGATAACAGTTCTTCACACAGCTTAATTATGTTTTCTAAATCATTTAAAATAGGAAATTGGGTAGCCATTGTACTGTACAATGAGCTTAAAGTAAGAATATGCGCTCTAAGACTACGGGCATATGCACGTCCTGTAATCATATGTGGTATCGTATTTTTGGCATACACAGTTTCCCACAACTGCTCCAGGCCACTACCTGTCATATTTTGCCCAATACAACCTAAGAATGACATAAGACAGTGAAAGCCTCCTAAACGTACAATAATGGAAGATAAAGGGTCGTTTTCATCAGCTGCAGCCACTATTTCTGATGATTTCAAAAACAAGGGCTGGTCAAATGTCACAATACATTTTTGATTCCTTTTAGCACACTCAGATGATGCAAATGAAAGGGCTGAATGTAGAGTTGTTAAGTTAGTTGCTTGTAGGTTGACAAAAGGAAGAGGCATTACTTTGGATGTTTGAAAGCTGCCTGATTCTTGTGTTGCTTTTTGCATATATCCATTCCAACTTGGCAGATTGTCTTTAGAATGAACGAATCCGGTCATCCACAGTAGATCTAATTTTAACTCTTGTTTTACAGACTCAACATCCTTTGAAAGATCTGAAAGGTCTTTGATGATCACCTTTTTTAAACCTGATTTCAGTTGTTTTGTATACGGTTTGATAGGTATAACCTGGGCTTGGACTGTGTTTACGTTTTTCCTAGGAATAGCATCAGGGACTTCAACTAAGTCTTTAGGTGTGACACATCTGATACCACCTAAAATGTGAACTGTTCCAAATCCATCAAGTGTGTTTGTATTTACATCAGCATTGTCAAAGACATACTGAACAAATGCACTGTTATCAATGGTAGGCTGTGCGAATGATCCTGCACAGTTCATGTATTTCAACGTTTCGCTATATGAACAACAAACACCAAGAGAGTTCAACGTGTCTATAAGGTATCTTGATGCATATTTTGCTTGCAGGTGTACTGAAAGTCCCAGATGAATAGGGGAGATAAAAGATCTTGGTCTGCATGTCGAAATTATAGCATGGTTAATAGCAACTTGTCTGCGGTTCCCTTTATCTGTAGGTTTATTATTTTCTGATAACACACATTTCATGAACAGGTTGAGAGATTCAGGAATGATGTCTTTGCCACCATCTTCCATGTCTTTGAATGCTGGATAATGTTTGGTATCGTAAACTTTAGCCCGTATATCTTCTTTTATGATGGCTGCGGCAGTTTTAACTATTCTGAGTCTCTCATTTAGTTCCGATTTCTCTCTGTTATCATACCATTGTTGACATAAAATGTTATGTGCAGTTCCAAGGAAACTTATTACTGTTGGCTTTCCTATTATATCAGTAAAAATTATAGCTTTTTCATACTTTGTTTTTAGCCGTGATTTCAGAAGGTAGTCACTGATTTCTTTGTCCTCTCCTCCAGGGAGGGTTTTAATAATGTCTTTAAGTTCTACTGAAGTATATTGGCACTCATTGTTCTCCTCAAGGTAATTGAAAAGCAAATCAAAAATGTTGTCTAGTGCTTTTTCTTCTGGTCTTCCACTCTTTTCATATATTTTAATTTTTCGAAATTCCCAATAACAATCTAAATGATATTTTGCTTCCTCTGATACAAGATTTGTAAATGTTGTTACTCGAGTCCTAATTTTTTCCCCAAACTCATCATTTCTACTTTCACAAGCTTTAAGAATAGAATCTGTTATTTCTTTAGTATCTACGGTTCGTACTAGTCTTCTTCTGTTTTTAGGCAGCTTAAAATTAGGGCTCTCTACAACTTCACTACAAAATAAGCAATGTCTCTTATAATCAAATCGGAATTCTCGTGGTCTTAAACATGGCACTTTAGGGGCAGGTTCACCAACCTCTTGCCTACTTGAATCACTACTTACTTTACTTGCCTTAATGGAACTATGCCTCGTATAGTTTTTCCTACACAACGTGTGGACTGTAAGTAAGTCGGTTTTAACCATGGTTTCATGTTTTCCATCTTTTCTTTCCTGGCTTGCTTGAATTAGTGTGGTTATCCCATTTCGGACAACGACTATCTCCCCTTCCTGAAGGCTTTTACAGCAAAGTAAACATACTCCTTCGGCCATGATTTATCTTCCTAGTCTAAAGATATACTGAAAATAAAACACTATCATATGGCGCACAATCACGATGTTATCATGACTTATTACAGCTTGTACACATCTTAAAACATGAACAGTTATCACTGTGAACAGTAAACATAAACGTAAACATCAAATGATTAATTACACTTCAAAATTTTAACAACAATGACAATATGTTTTATTTTAGCAGCTGTTTTATTAGACAGTCTGCAAGCAATAAAGAAACCAGGTTTGCTAAGAGTAAATTAGTAACACTAAAACACTGCAATTAAAATAAAGGGTAATATTCTAAATAGGGATGAAAAGCATTTTCAGACTGGGAATAGCTTACAGGGACTCAGAATAATATCATTCATTAAAAGTGAGTGTATATTCCTTTTAAAAACCCCTTAAAATGTCATAAAACAAAAAATTTTTCTGACAATTTTGATTAATAAAAAAAAATTATTATACTTAATCGTGAATTACTCAAAAACCATTGGGTTTAGAGAAAAATGGTAAATACAAAAAATGTGTATTTTTTAATGGACTACATTTTGTATATTTAACTTTTTCCTCTATCTCTAATAATAAAGCCACTATAGCCGAAAATACAGAAATATGCCGCCATTTTCCAATATGGCGGCCGTAGCACAGCTTCAATTTTAGGGGACTTTTAGTATGTTCAAAAGGAAGGTATACCCAACATCTGTACCAAATTCCCAGGTTGTGCTAATTTTTTTTAGGTTTATGGAATTTTTCTCTTATTTTTACTGCACTACAAACAGTAAGAATCTTTCGACCACAGCACAGCTGAGCTGTTTTCAATAGTCAGAATGTCATTCCTTCCTTCAAGGTATCAACAGCTACAGCTGTTGACTGTATTAGCAGATGGTTTCTGTCCGGCTGACTAGTCGACTTTAATGGACTAAAGATCCTTCACCTCACTCGCAGACTAAAAATAATATACTCTAGACAAGTAGGCTACCTATAATAATTAAGGGCTATTTCTAAAAAAAAAAATTATATGTAGGGGCGGAGCTTTTAAAGGCATATGTTGACTAGTCTCCATATGGCAATGAAAATAATTGAAATTGACTATACTATGGTAATTTTAACCAGTTGATTAATTTGTTATAATTTCACTGTAATGGAGCAAAAGTAGTCCCCATGCAATGCACTATTGCACACCAAAAATAGAAATCTAAATAAAATACAGTATTGTAAAGCTAAATGGTATGGATATTTAAGAAGATCGTGTCATTTATTATAGAAAAAATCTAAAATCATTGGCAATCTAAATCCATGATTTGTATCCTAAAACATTAACAACCTATTGTATTATTTTGCAAACTCGACCAGTGAAAAGCTAAATCTGCTATTATTACCAAACTTTGACTTTAAATGTTTAATCTATGTTTTTAAAAACTTAACAAAACAACAAGATATAAAACGTGTTATTTATTTAGTCAGTATTATAATGGTACCGTACCTATTTTATTTTTTGAAAAATTTTGATATCACAATATTTAAGAATTAAGAAATACATTAACTTCATTATATTCTACAAGGCATTAAATTGATATATATATATACACATATATATATATATTTTTAAGTAACGATGGGTTGGTTCTTAATATATGGCTGAAATGTTCCTAACACTGTTGTTTGTGCTCCATCAATCTGTTAAGACAAAAATTAACTTGTTATGGCAAAACGTTATTTTTATGAAATACAACATTTCTGTGAACTACGGTAAAAACCATTATTTCAACATACAGATTTTCTTGAAATATTTTGTTTCTTATTTGAACTAACTGATGTTTACCTTCATTTAACGTATAAGCATAAATTTTAAGAATGCTGTTTTAAATATTTGAGGTTCCCCGAAAAAAATGTTCTATTTTGTATACCACCTAAGGCATATGGCTAATAACTATTTTCTATAAGTTAGTTGACAAAAGTTTTGCAACTCATAAAACTTTAAATAATTGTCCACATTAACTACAGTAAATAGAATGAAATTTATAAATAATACCAGGTAGCCAATATGCAATTTTCATTGGTATATCACTTGATCAATGTGCTACCTAAGAAAAGGCCCAGAATTAAAAAATACCATGGTTTGGACAGATCACTTAGAAAAAACTTGAATAATTCCAATTAAATTAAAACACACAAATCGAAAATATATCAGAATTGAAGTTAGTGTTCTGTACTTTGAAATACTTTGTTTCAATGAACAAAGGATTTGTTTGTCTCTTGCACTGATTCATGCCTTAGTCAGCCAAGATAGTTGATTCTCATGGTAGTTAGTGATAAAAAGTAGTTGCAAGAGAGAATAAATGTCTTTATTCTATGATTGTGTCTAGTGTTTTTCAAACAAGTAAATATTCCCAAGTATTTATTGTGTAAAGTTTGAGACTTCCTTGAAATGGAAAATAGGTCTTTACTGATTAATATGGTCTAATAATTGTGTGTGCTGGTATCAACTGATTATTGTTGTAAAAAAATGTGTAAGTAAACATTTTATTTCTAAACTAAAATAAACTGGATTAGTGAATATATTTAATTGTTAATACTCTCAAAAACTACTTATGCGTGGAGCAAAATAAAAAGTAGGTTTTTAATTTAAAACTCTTTGAATTGTGATACGTCGAGTGTTTTCGTAATTGTATTTTATTATTAACCCTTTTGGGGGATTTGGTCAATATACATACATGCAAAAAAATCTTTACTACCCTTCTTATGAAAAGTTTTAAAGTTATATACCTTGTATTATTGTATTATCTAAGGTAGGTCTAACTGTGAAATCTGTTTTACTACCATGAAACATATTTCAGATTGCGATATTTCTCTTTTCATTTCATTAACTACTTTTCAACAGACTTTAAAAAAATGTGTTACATAGTAATTTAAACCATTACACTGTTTGTGTAAATCAATCCACATTAAGTCTACTAATTTTTGTCTTTTTAAAATCTTGTCTGCCTTAATATTTTTAACACACATGCTGTGCAAAAAGCAAAATATTATCTGTAATTTCACTGTACATTTATGTATTTATTGTATTTATGTAGAATAACACTTTAATACTTTTAATGTGATATTTATAGAAAGGATCGATACTTTCTTGAAATTTTCTAAAAACTTTAAAAAAAGTCTTCAAACATTTAACAATATCAAAGTTTACAGTTGTTTGTTAGAAACAAATCAAAATGGTTCAAAATGGTATCCAAACTTTCTAGATGTATGTTTTGTAACATCACAGAATACTGACTAAGAGTTTTCATATTAATTTGTGACAATGTCCTTGCATAGTATTTATTATAGTTGAAAAATAAACCTTGAAATAATTTTAAAAAATAAAAAAAAATCAACAGTTGCAGTACATGGACTGATGCTGATGCTGATACTATCAGTTGCTGATAGTTACAAGTTTGGCCTCGGCCGCGCTGATGTGACTGGACCACCTGTTGAGATATCATTCGTAAGTCGTCATCTCTAGTCATATAGCTATTTCCCTGCTAATCACCATACAGAATGACTGTGGTTGAGGTTGACGAATGATAATGAGGTATAGACATCATGGTGGAAGGATAAAACATTGGTTTGATACTCCCGTCATAGGCTGACGTCACCCAGATTGGAAATGCCATTTCACTATTCAGAAAAAATTATAAAAACAATAACAATCCAATCAAAACAGAGAGAAAAGAATTTATTTGTAAAAATAAATACCTCTGCCTTAAAAAATAAGGTTGCCAAAGACACAGAAAAATAGTACACATTAAATATCGAAGGGTTATACAGCTATAAGACTGATTAATTTTGATGTTTGCCATATAGATGATTTCTCATTATGGTCAATGAACCTCTTAATGTTTCATGAATAATAATTTTCAAAAAGGATCTGTCCAAATCATATTGTTTCCAAAAGTTCACAAAAAATTTTGATAATGTTCCTCTAGAACCAATAAACAATAAAAAATAAGGTAACACCTATGATTTAACCTTCCAGCACGGTTAGACATTTAAATTAGGTGGTTTGTGTCAAACTATGAATCTTTCTAAATCTTTAAAAATACTATATGGATATTATCACCCTTTGTATCTCTAACTTGGAAAAAAGTCTTAGAAAAATAACTTTGTTGGATAAGTTTTTGTCCTCGACATGCAAGACCAGTACATGTTACATGATCCAGCTCAAATGAAATCAAAATCTGAATGATTTGAACTTTTGAGAAAACCATTAGCCATAAAGTTTTTAATAAACCCTCTCCTAAGGGCAGGAATCTCAATTAAAGGGTTGTTTTTGAGCACCCCTTTAATAAATAAAGGGAATATTTTGAATATAAGTCAGCTGTTAGATTTGTTTTTTTTTAGATTGTTTCTTTTTCTTTTCCTTGAGTTAACCTTTTGATTCTACCATTCTACCATAGATTTCTATAATGCGTCAAGTGAAGTGACAGAAGGTTTTTATTATAATGTGGGATAGTGTTCAAGTATACTTTAAAAACACAGCATTCGATATTGCAGACAAATGCTGTGTATAATTAAGTGACACAAGCACCATTATAGAGTTTGGACGGAGCTATGTGCTCCAACTGGGGAAAAACGCAAATGTAGAATATTTATCCATATGTGAGATCCATATGGGACATTGATAAAATTAATTTTCATAAAGAATTATCGCTTAATAATATTTTTTAATCATCCAGCAGTTTGCATTGGACGAGGTAGTTTGCAACTTTTTTGCTCCATTACAACTTTAAAAAATAAAAAGGAATGTTTTGCCGCTCACCATAGTAGTGAGTGCTAGTCTTTAAATCTGAAGGATGCTGGTTCGTACTAAAGAGGGAGTAATTTTGGACCTAGATGTCACTGTTTGCCCTCGCCAAAAAAGTTAAAAAGCTAATGCCGTTGAGAAAAACTCAAATACCTTATGTAGAACATATATTATTCTATTATAGAACATAATAGAACATAATATTGATATGTAGAACAAAAATTGTTTAACATCAAGTTGAGTTTGGATACTAAATGATTTTTTTGTTTCCAAGGTTGGTATTATCAATTCTGTCTCTATAATGTGACTTGTTGCCTTGAACACTTGTTGAGATATTGTGCTGTTTCCAGGGGCCCATTTCATAATAAACTACAAGTTACAAGTTACAACTTGTAACTTGTAATTTCCATTAGATTTGCATTGGGTGATCAGCTGATTTACTAATAATATTAGTTTGTACTTTATTATGAAATGGGCCCCAGATGGGATATGGCAAGATGGGACAGAAGGGGACGGGTATTCACCTGCGGCAGTTCTCTAGAGCCTTCGTCATAGAGGAGGGTGGTCGCAGACTGGTGCTGGCTAGTGTAGAGTGTGGCATGATCGGACATGGGCTGCGGATGGAGGTGAGGACAAAGCAAAACCTATGAGTACAATGAACACCTGTGTAAGATTGTAATAGACTACTGTTGAAAGCAGCTCAACTTTTAAAATTTGTAGTCTTGATAGCAATTTGTATTGTTACTAACTAATTGAGATCCACACAACTGGATTTATTATGAGTAGAATTGAGTTATATATGGTGTAACTTGTTACCAACTAAGACCAGCTTATTAAAAGACAGTATGAGCTTCCTATCGCTCAAACATAATCAAAATACAGCAGTAAACTCCTTCATATTATATATAATTTTTCTTTCTTTTTAAAGGCATGCTGCAGCAAAGCATGCGTTGAAAAATGGTGTTTACCATTGAAAATAAATTAAATGTAAGAAAATTAAAAGCATGGTTATTACAATTAGTGTACGATAACTAATTATAAGCAGTGATATATTTAGCTATAAAAGCAATTTTTGGTACACCTGTTTTTTTGGGAAAAGTTCCAAGAAAGAAACGAGAATCGACGTTGTAACTGGTACTGGCACTGAATTTATAAGAGGTAGGCCTACCTACACATCACTAATATTAAGAGAATCTAAATGGTGTTACTTTATTATCAACACACCCGCAGTCATTGCTTCCATGTTTTTATTCTATCAGGTGCTACAGAGGCTAGGCAAGCGCTACGGATCTCTCTACACAGAAGAGAACGTGATGTTGTCGGGGACCCACACCCACTCTGCTCCGGGAGGGTTTCTCATGAATATGCTGTTTGATCTGACAACTCTCGGCTTTGTTTACGAAACTTTCAACGCTCTTGCCTCGGGTATTGTACTGGTAAAACAAAATACCAACCCATCACCGTAGTTTATTCATATCAATTCACTATAATACTACGCTATAATTAGAGCCTTTAATTTAGTTGTGGTTTACAGCCTTAGCATAAATGTTTGTAAAAATCGTGTTGAAAATATTTTTTTTTGTAAATGCTTGTGGCTGAAGAATTGGGTATGTTATTAACACCCTGTGTATATAACAGAAAATCAAAAATACTAAATGAAAGAAACGTTGATATCAGACAAACCAATGTAGAACTTGGCAGGCTTCTAAATAAACAGCTGCAGTAAACAGCTGTTTTTGTTAAGGTTATCACCTAGTTTCCATATTGATTTTTGACATTGAGATTAATTTTTGTAACTAAACTGAGAATTCAAGAGCTTGGACATCTATCAGTAGTGAACACATCTGGTAGATGTTTTTGAGGAAAGTGGAAAGCAGATAGTTGTTGTCTAATTTAAGATCAGGTTAGATTGACAGCTCTTTAAACAGAAGAGATTTGACTAAATTGAATCATATACCTTGAAACTTGATATTTATGTGGTGATGGCATGATTGATGTTCCTTGTAACCTACCTATATTCTCATTTTATTCATTTTAACCTTGTTTCAACAGAGTATAGTCAGAGCTCATGACAACTTGGCCGACGGTAGAATCTCGGTGAATCATGGTGAGCTATTAGAAGCCAGCATCAACCGTAGTCCAACGGCTTACCAACAGAACCCACAGAACGAGAGAGCTCGGTGATTGGTGATAGTAATGATAAGCTACATAAATTTGTTATGTAATATTTTAGGGTATATAGGTTTGTCTGAAAAAACACTATTGCGATAAAATAAATTGTTAACAACTTTTCCACAAGTGAGAAAATAAAAATTAAGTCCCATCCATCTACAAGCAAGAGATTTTGCCAGTTTATTTCATTTAAATTTTAAAGATCGCATAGTTCAATGAGCATCTCATAAAGACTACCTATTATAAAAAAAAGACATTTTCTTCATAAATTAAACGATTCATGAGAAATAAAACAAGCCATGAGCTTACTGGAACTGGGATTTCTACTTGATTTGTGTTTTTGTTTTTACTGTCAAAGGATCAATCTAGAAGTAGTATCTTGAAGTAGGGATGAGCATCCCTACAATATTAATCGATGGTCAATGTTTTCAAAACATCGATGTTTTTCTATCAATGTTTGATGTTTTTTACATTGATGGTAGATTACCGATGTTTTTGGCCCAAGCATTGAAATATCGGTGTTTTTCATGACTAAATTGTATTAGTTTAGGTTAATTAGCTGTTGTAATACAGAGAGCAGACAAGATGGTGAACATTGGTGAAGATGGATGGTTGACCTGATTTAGGTTTATGCTCATCCCTATATCAAAGTGTAAACTGATCAACTAAGTAAGATCTCATTCTACACCCTCTGAAGATTTGTATGTAAAAAGTACAAATGGTTTTTATAGAAAACAGTCTAAATCCCTCTAATTTGTATCTATTGATAACCAACACAATGTTGATTTTTACAACCAGAATTTGATTTGTAAAAAGAATAGGTGCCAGAAATTTAACCTATTTAATGTAACTTGTACCTATGAATGTACCAAATTATGCCAATATTTATATCTTTCTGAAAAGGAGGTGTTAAGGAGGTAAAGGTAGGTACTGGAACTCCGTTCGGCCGCGTTCCCCCACGAATCAAACACTGATTACAACTTTCATAAAATAAAAATAAACATATGGTCATGTTTATACTTTTTTAAATGTCGTTTAACACTTCAGGTACACTCACGATGTAGACAAAACAATGGTGCAGCTGCGGTTTGAGCGGCCTAATAATAAAGTAGTGGGAGCATTCACCTGGTTTGCCGTGCACCCAACCAGCATGAACAACACTAACACCCTCGTATCATCAGACAACCTAGGGGTGGCTGCCTTGCTGCTCGAGCAAACAGTGAATCAAGGATTTCTTCCTGGCAAGGTACAAACACACTTTTGACACAATCAAACAAAATAAATTTTTTGATGCCATTTTCAATCTTGTCGGTTGTTTAATAAAGTATTTCTCTCTCTCTCTCTCTCTTTGTTATAAGTTTGTATTGGTTGGTTAGGCCTACTTATTTTTCTAATCTTTAAAAAAAAATCTTGAGAGTCTGTGCCACAGACTAATTGATACTATAATAATTGATAGACTAGTAGGTGATCTAAAGACGGTGTACTTACCATTTTTGTGTTAATCGTGTGGAGTGGCATCATTATTGGAATTTTTTTTACGTTTTGGTGGAGGAACTGTGCAAACCCGCTGGTTTTATTACCACGTAGCATTGAGATTTTGTTAGATAACATCATCCATTAATAGACCTATAACAAATAGCATTTATCAGAACCAATCTTGCTTTGAATCAAACCAGTGAACTTCAGGTTTGAAGGTGAACAATATAGATAAGATTAGATTAAATTTGTACGATGCCAGCACAGCAGGACGAGGTGATTTAAAAGCGAAGAGGAGTGATTGATGTGTGTTAAATTAATGAGATCGCAGCTTTGTTACAAGCTAAGATCAGCTGGTTCGTTAGCCTTGATAATTTATTGAAAGAAAAATGTTAAAGGACAAGGGGTCCAATTTAAAATAAAAAAGATTTGGTTTTCTCTTATAATTGAGCCAGCTACCTTCTGATAACCATGCAAGCAATATCAAGTTAGTTACTAAGATAACCTCAGCACTTGTCTGTATTGCAACCATTATATTGCAACAACAATATAATAATTGTCTGGGCAGACGAGCAGTGGTCATAGTGCTCGTCTTCAAATCCGTCGATCTCTGGTTCGATCCCAAGCGAGATCGTTACTGAGCCCAGATGCCGATTGTCATTTGGCTATAAATTATTGGTGCTATGTAACAGAAGGACAACGTTAAATACCAGGGTTTGGACCTTTGGACCAAAAAATGCCATTTCCTTGGATAGAAAAAATACCTTTAGGCAAGCTAGTGCTGACACCATATACAACTAAGATATTGCAGGCAGTCAGTCTTAAACCAGCAATGAGCAATGTTAAGCTACAATCTAAGACTAAACTGCCACTATTATGTTCGCAGTAATGTGTCCATTTTCATAGTAACTTCATGAGTTCATTTTATCAACATAAAAGTTATAGTAACACCTTTCACCTTCATCTGCTTCAATGTAATTTGCCTCACCACTAGGGACCGTTCGTGGGTGCCTTTGTTTCCAGCAACTTGGGAGACGTGTCGCCCAACCTGGCCGGGCCGAGATGTATAGGCTCAGGTCTCCCATGTGACCTTCACACCAGCTCCTGTGGGGAGAAAGATGAATGTATTGCGTTGGGACCTGGTCGCAACATGATGGAGAGTACACGGATCATTGGCAAACGGCTCTACAACAAGGCATTGGTAAATTAAAGCATTAACCTTTGGATGCTGAAACAAACACCCCAACATCTATTAGTATCTGGAGCAAACTTTGTTTTAAGCTAGAGAACTTAGTTTAATGCTCCACTCACAGAGCATAGTTTTAAATTATATTTTCTCCCTTAGGTTGTGGTACTGTATGGTTGATATGACTTAAAAGATGCTAGTTTACATTAAAGGTAAGTTTTCCTTTAAGTTTGGCTTGGTTAAAAAGTTGGCGTATTCAACTGGTATTAGTAATTGACACTCTGTCGGTACCGGTAGCTCAATTCAAATACGTTCATTACTTTTGTAAACCTGGCTTCAACTTTAGGATGTGAGTGCAATGCGTACTTCTATCGCATTGACAGATAGCCGAAGCTTATAGCTTTGACTATATTAATACCACGGTACAACAAGTCATTCCATCCACATATTGTTAAAGTTGTCGCCAGATTTTTTTATCAAAATCGTAGTAGTTGATGTGAGCGAAAGACAGATAACGCTGATCTAAATCACTTTCTATCAAATACACAGACTTTTTAACGATGTCAAACGAATAGAATAACTTACTGTGAGCTATAGCAACAGCAACTGTTATGACCCATCAAATAGGTCAGCAATAAAAAATAAGGTAGAAAATAGAACTTTAGACCCTAGCGCTTTCTGTGACTGGCTCACATAACTGTGTTCTATTTTTTTTTTATTGGCAACAGCTGTTCTATATAGATGGGATGTATACTTCAGTATTCAATAGTCAATGCTTATAGTTCATTTTGTGAAATGTGATATTGATTCCTTGTAAAAACAAAGAGGGAACAATGTGGCTCTCCTGTGGTAGTTCTAGCTACTGACATTTTTTACAAACCACGAGGGATCAAGTTTAAAAACCCTTTGTATATATGTATTTATTTTCTCACTTTAAAGACCTATATGTATTTATTTTCTCACTTTAAAGACCTGTGCTAAACTTGGGCATTGATAGCAAGACAGGTTTAAAAGACCGTTAGGAGAAGATATCCCCTTTTAATTCCAAAGGCTCAGACATTGAACAAGAAAAGAGATATAAAAATGTCCACTTTAAACTGCGAATATAGTTTTCAATCAGAGTTGAAGATATCCTAATAACTGTGCTTGACATATGTGCTGCGATTTTGATATATTACATTTACAACCTCTTTTTGTGTGAGATAACTGATTTATTCTTTCATTTTAGTAGTTTAATCTATAAACATTTTTGTAATCATTTGTGTTCACATTGATAAATGTTCTGCCAGGAGTTGTTAAGGCTGGGTAACTCTGGGAGACGTTACCTAAACAGAGGTTTGAGAGTAGTCCATCAGTACAATGACATGTCCAAATACAGTACTTCTTATTGGGACCCAACATCGTCTCAGTATATACCAGTAAGTTTTGCCTTGTTTTAGTTTATTAAAACGTTTTTAAAGAATACATTTAGCTTACAATAAACATTTTTGTTCATAGTAACCTGCTTATGGCTAACCTTAAAATTGCATCAAGCAACTAGTTCCGGCACCGAATTAGTGACACCAAATTAGTGATATCGTCAGGCTGTATTGGAACACAACTTACAGAAGTTGTCAATGAGGAAACTTGAAAAGACGTAAAGTGGTAAATATTTTGAAAACCCTTGCGAGTTGTCCTCCAAAAATGTATAAATGTATGCTGCTAACATAGACTGACTTTTCTTTCAGTTTCAATTCCATTCTAATCAGAAATAAGTGTGAAGTAAACAAAAATGAGAAAACATATTTAGAGAATCTACGGATTAGTTAGTTGAATATTGTTTTAGTTTTGATAACAATTTATGATTTGTAAATCACTTCAGGTGAATGGCTGTCCTCCGGCTATGGGTTACAGTTTCGCAGCTGGTACGACGGATGGGCCGGGAGTATTTCCGTTCTCTCAACAAATCGTGACTCCGAACCCGCTTTGGAACTCCATACGCAACTTGATCTACGGACCTTCTGAGAAACAGAAGATGTGTCACTACCCCAAACCCATCATGCTTACGACTGGCGAGGTATATTAAAAATGTTCAAAATCTATTCATATACATGTTAGACTTGTTTTGGATTTTTCTCCATAAATTTCTGAACCATCTGGTAAAGATAGTATAAAATTGGAGCAAAAGTGACAGTGCTAACAAGAAGGGGGTTCAGTTTGAAAATTCTCTCAAACTTTCCCAATTCCCTTTAGCCCGGGGGTCGTAGCCCTGAAGTCTGCAGTGACTTTTGCGCTACCATTGGCAATATTAAACTTAAATATTGCAGTCAAATGTTTTTTTTTTCAGTAATGATAGGCAGAAGTCCAGTAGAGTATCACTAAGAATAGGAAATTGTAAAATAATACAAAATAGTTTTGTTAAAATTATTGGAATTTGTATTCATTCCACAAGATTTGAGTGATAGCTTTGAATCTTGAGTTTTGTAAGATGTTATTTAATAAAAAAAATGTTTAAAGACATAAGATTTTTGCAACTTTGTAGAATGATGACCTTTGGTACGGTATCACTTGCGGTTCCTTGAATCCTTGGTATCCTCCTTCAGTTTCCCGGAATCCTTAAGCCTGGCAGAACTGACATTATTTTAATGAAATCTTCACTCTCATTGTTCCCAGATGACGTTTCCGTTTGAGTGGCAGCCGTCAGTAGTCCCAACACAGTTAAGTGTGCTGGACAACCTGGTCTTGGCGTGTGTCCCTGGAGAGTTCACAACCATGGCCGGTCGGAGACTACGGGATGTTCTCAGACAAAGTCTTAAACTCGGATCCAACAAGAATGTGCTGATCACGGGTCTCTGCAATACATATGCTGACTACATCACAACTCCTGAAGAATACCAGGTTTCTAGATGGTTTTGTTGAAAATTGCTTGATTTAATGACATCAGTACATTGAAGAATACAAATTAAATTGAAATGTTGATTAAGAGGATTAGTAAGCAACTTTGTTGGTTTATCATTATGGTGAAGAACCTTCTATTATCAGTTTCTGTATAACATTTTGAAGCAGCATGTTACACCAAAATTAAATTGATTGCTGTTAAATTGACATAGAGAGTATTGAAAAATCTGTGTTGAGCTACGGACTCCTCTGGTCTGATTTCAATGAATTTTTTATATGGGTACTACAAATCCATGGTATCCCCTGGCCTTTTATAAATATTTTTTGAAATTTTGATTTTTAATGGTGATTTCCCATAAATAACAGAAAAATATGATTACATAAAAACTACTTGTACGATTTTGATTCAAATTTAGTGTGTTATAGTCCTTTTAACTCTAAACAAAATGGTAAAACACCTATTGCTGTAAACATTACGGCTAAAAAGTAATGCAGCGTTGTTACAAAATGTAATACGAAAGATTTTGTTTAAAAAATTAGGATATATCTAAAAATTATCTAATGAGGAAATAATTCATTCAGTCCGATAACTGTAATGATATCACTGGACACATTTTAACTATTAAAATACTTCAGAAATACAACTCACACGATGATATTATTTATCAGAAAACATACACATAAGTTTGGTAATGTTTCTTCTGTATTCTAAAACAAACATTGGTGTTTCAGATACAGAGGTATGAAGGTGCTTCTACCATCTTCGGCCCACATACACTTCCTCTATACCTCGACATCTATCGGAAACTGGCTCAGGCAGCAACAGGTGTATGTTCCATAGTTTAAGCTTAGGGGTTTTAAACTCATTTACTTAAATTGCTACATGATATCTATTGTTGGAAAACATCCATGACAGTTAATTGTAATACACCTCATAATTTACTGTTTTGAAAACTACTAAAATATTTTTTTAACTTTGTAGTACAACAACACCCAATGAAAAGTTATTGCTTGGCCAGGGATTGATTTAGCAAAGAAAGGGATTCGGTATTCTCGTGCTTTAACGGTTTAAAGAGAGTTCCAATCTGGTGTTTTGACTCTTATATTTAAATTACTCACTGTTATAGAACATCAACACACTTAGTGTAAATATTTTAAGCTCAGTATGATTGCAGAGTGGATGGGTCACCTTCCAGGACAAACTATTGGAAGCCTGATGACTACGGACAGTTGGGTCCAGTTTCAAACCATCAGATACTAGTACAGGCTTTTCTCAGGTCCGAATCATCAGACTTTGATTATTTAGCTAACCAGCTTTATTTGTTTTAGGAGACCACACTTGCCAGAAACGAACCTCCTCTGGACTTCTTCAATGACCTTATATCCCTAAACACTCCAGTCCTCTTTGACAACGCTGGATGGTCCCAGAACTTCGGCCAAGTCCTACAAGAGGCTCCATCCAGGGTGTCTCCGGGAGCAGTTGTAACTGTGAAATTTGTAAGTGACAAAAATGTGCAGAACTTATGGTTTTTATTTGGGAAACATAACTGGTTTTAGTGATAGATTTTACATTATGTAAAATTTTTTGTCAAGTGTGATTCAGGGAATCAGTGTAATTAAAAGACGGTTCACTAGAGAAACAACTATTTCTAAGAAAATCTTGAACTTAAACACTTTTTATTTCTTAATAACTCCTTCTTTTTAAGTTGTTAGTGCTTTTTGTAACTTGCATGTAACACACTGGCAGTATAAGATGGCAAAGCCGTTTCCTTGAACAGAATGAAGATGGCTCTAATTTATGAGCTGAAACTAACTTTCTGCTGATATCTAAACCAGGCCCCCGATTTGCATGTGCCGCGCTACGGGCCCAAGTGATAATTGCACCGCTTCCCTCCTTCCTCACGGAAGAACTTTTTTTAAACCTCTTGCACCCCTGGGCCTTTTTACTAAAGTGGCTCCCATCTAGATCCACCTGGATTGCCACTAAACAGGTTTATTATGTGCCACACCACATAATTTATTAGTTAGATAAAAGTAAAGTTTAATCAAGATAGATGTTTAATTTACAAATCTTGTAATAAATCACTTGTGTTTTATATAATGTTTTTTTTTTTTTTATATCACAGTTACAATATGCAGTATCATGAAATTCTATAATGAATCAAATAAACTGAATTGAAAATTGAATCCCCTTTGTTACCAGGTAGGGGCGAATCCCAGGAACCATCTCCAACACGAAGGCAGCTACCTCACAGTGGATCATTTACAGGGCAGTTCATGGAACGTGATAGCTACCGATGCCAACTGGGAGACTCAGTAAGAGTTATCATACTTCACAACACACAATACAAAAACAAAAACTGTAATACTACATTCCACATTATCTGTGCAGTACAAAGTGTTCATAGGCTTAGGCCTTTGTGTTTCAAATGGCAGTTTCAGTCACACTATCCAAATCAAAACATCAGGACCACCAAAATACTCAAAATACTCAATACATATTTGATTTATTTCTGTGACTTAATGCTTTGAATAGATCGGTATTTTGACATTGATATATTTAATATTACTGTAGTACTAAAATATATCAAGGTCAAAATACCAATCTAATCAAAGCATCAAGTCACGGAAATAAATTAAATATACTTTAGCGGTACCTAGTGCTTTCACTAGAGTTGTGAAGGTAGTTGAAGTAACACGCATGACAATAATCATGATTTTTCCAGTAAATTTAATAGCAAAACAATCTCCCATATGACCTGTACACTGCACGGTGAACATGAAAGAAAGCAAGTAAAACCTTCATTTTTATGTAAAATTTAAAAATATTGGAAACAATGTACTCATTAGATTCTCATAAGAACCTCTATAGCAGTAGGCACATAGCCCTAGTTTCAGAATGAAAATTAATACATGGGCGCAGTGGTGTAGCTTACTTGTTGTTATAGACCCCGCCCTGCTCCAAAGGGTAGCCCGTAGCCCAGAGGTTAAGTTACCCGTGTAGAACAATCCAAAAACTTTATTAGGTCCTTTGTAATTTTTGTTATGAAATCTCAACTTTAGATTCCATGAAATTATTTATATGTATCTTTGTTAAGGAGAAAGGAAGGATACACAACTAACTCACCTGAATAAAGAGTCCCAGGAGGTTAATAGAACACTTAAAAGTCACACATTAAACAGATATTTCGCCCCTTTCAGGGGCTTCTTCAGAGGTAGAAGGTAGAATCATTCTACCTCTGAAGAAGCCCCTGAAAGGAGCAAAATATCTGTTTAATGTGTGACTTTTAAGTGTTCTATTAACCTCCTGGGACTCTTTATTCAGGTGAGTTAGTTGTGTATCCTTCCTTTCTCCTTAACAACAATTCTAAAGCCAAGTTGCTTTTTTCCGTTTAAAATAACTACCCTTATATGTATCTTTGTGTTTAGATGATCTTTTTTTCAGTTTTGTTAAGAGGTATCCGTCAAAATTATTCTTCCTCTTGAAAGGCAGGGAGACAAAACCTTTGGCCTTTTGGTCAACAATCGGACAAAATGACCAACTGCTTTAACAACGGCCATGAGTTAACCGTTAACAGTATTAGCTTTAAAATTTGTCAAACACAATTTTTGGACAGCCTGCCTAAGTTATGTTCACCTAGTGCATCCATACGGTACAGAATCAATTAACTGTCAGCTAATGTAACAGTGTTTCTTTTTTACAACTGAGTTCTGCTAAAAGATATTTAAGTGATCAGTTTGTATTATTAGGTTTAGGTGGACTCGGCTCTCTGATATCCTCGGAACATCACAGGTCGAGGTCCGTTGGGCCGTACCTCGGGATATTCCTCGAGGTATCTACAGGATACGTTACTCGGGCCACTTCAAATATCTCAATGGCAAGATTGAAAACTTCGTTGGAACGACAAAGAATTTTGAAGTAAGTAGTAGTGTATGTGTCTCTTAATCAAGATTCTTAAATACTGAAAAATACTGAATGGACGTAAAATTACATCTAATAACACTCGTAATATGTATTTTTACACTTAAACAAATATAAAAGAAGGTAAGTAGTGATCGATTTTGATTGGACACTCCAATCATCATCAGACCCATAAGGCAAATTCGCACAAGTGTAAATATTATAATATGTTACAAGTGTTATTAGACCTATATTTATGTACTTTCAATAAATTTAATAGCACATACAATGCTGATCAAGAAATTATTCCTTAAAAATCAAACTCAGCATGTTAGTTTTAAGATAACTATAATAAGCATAATGGTTGCATCAATAATTTGCATCCAGTCATTACCAAAGACATTAAAATAATGATAATAACTATAATCTTAATTGTTCTGGATTGAATGTTCTCTTATTATAATAAAAAAGTTCAATGTGTTTTACGTATTTAATGCCCATAAAAGGTCGTTGTTATGTCAAAACAAAAATTGTATAGAAACATATTTTGCATAAACAATATTTTTTTTATTAATTAATTATTCTAATATTCTTTTTCAGGTGGTGTAAACATGGTAGTATTAATTAATAATTCTCAGTATTATAATATTTTAGCCAAACGATTCAGTTCAACGTATTCAGTTAACTATGTGATGTTTATTGATTATTTAATTAATTATTTTTAATAATTTTTCACTTATGTATTATTTAATGAATATTTTGATTCTTACTTTTTACTTGTCAGCTTTAAAGAAACCCTGTACTTTTTATTTTTATTATAATATTAGTACAGTAGACCCTCTTATATCCAGCCTTGGGATAGTTTACTTTTCGGACTATCGGATCAGCGACCACTGACTATGATCTCAGTTTTTAGCTGAGGAAAAATCAACATGAATTTTTTGTGTTTCATATTCAAAGTCAACACATTTTAGTGTGCTTTGAATGGAGAATTCATATCAAATGGATCTATTGATTTTATAGCTCCTATGCCATTTTTTATGCTCCTTTAGTTGTCTATTTTTATTTGAATTCACACAATAGAATTATTGTCTTTAATCTTACGTATTAGGTAGTAAATGTTAAAATACTCCAGAAATGTACTTTCAATTATAATTTTTACAATTGATCTAAGTTGAGCAGAAAATTAGAATACATAAAACTTTCAGAAAAACTTAAAACTTATTGAGTAATTTAGTGAGTAGTATACTGCGGCTATGTAACTTATCACTTGGGCAGAACGTACTTTTAATAAAATAATAATAAAACTGACTGGAGTATACAGTACTAAGTTGCACATAAACAGTTTGATTGAAATTTGAAATTATAATACCGGTAGCTGATTGTAAGTTATTGAATTAGGTATATACAAATTTCATATTGATTTAGGTTCTTATCGGATCATTTATGCTAGGTACTTTATTAGAAACCCCGTAGATCTGTACATTATTACAATAACGATAAATAATTTTATAGAATGTATATTTTTCTAACATCTCAAAAGCTATGTATCCTAAAGTAAAATAAAAGGTGCAAAGTCAATTGTCTGTTCAAGTTCTTTAACCCGAACCCAATCCAACCAAACTTAAACATATAATTGATTCATTATCATACAGGTCATTAAATTACAAGACATTACATTTAAAGTTGTTGGATCAATGACTAAAAAATATCATGCTTTATTTTTATATTCATGTTTAAAAACCTTTACAAGATAGCTAACAAATCAAGGAAAGCAATTAAAAAATGTGTTTACCACTAATAATTGTTGTTACATTTGGACATCTTAAAACTCTGAATATTTCCTTTGTAGTGCACAGAGATCATGTTGTCTGAGTTGGTCAAGGGGTTCTTTCTAAACTTACCTTTTTTGTAGGAGATGTATTAAAATTACTACCTCTACTAAAATATTCTTCGATTTCTAACAATGTTTTTCCATGAGTTTCTGGAAGGAAAATAAACAAGTAAATGGTACCTAAAAGTCCTGAGACAGCAAAAAATATGAATGTAGGAAGCACTCCGAAAGAGACTACAAGTCCTGGGTAAAGCTTGACAGAGATGAAGGATTCAAGATAAACCACACAGGCTGTCATGCCACTGGCAATCTGAAACAATAATCGAACATTGTTTTAGTTATAATTTTATTTATGAAATGGTACTAACTTAACAGTTGTGTAACTATAATTCAACTAAAACGTAAATATACTTAGGATTTGCTCCCCACAAAACTTACATCGGATTTCAAGACTTTTGGGTGTTTGTGTTTGTTGGATATGTAGTATAAATAAAATTCTTGGTATAGTAAGTTATTTTATGGCCATTTTAATAATTTATACCAATGATAAAAGTTAAATTTGAGCAATGAATGTATAACGAACTGTAACAGAACCGTTTAAGATTTTATTGCTAAGTAATTTTTCTAATAGTGAAGCAAATTCAATGGCATTTAGTTTCAAACTAAATCAAAAAGAATTTCTATATAGCACAAAAGCACAGTGATTAGAAATATGATTAAATATTATTTCTAGTTGAAGTGATCGATAGTAGTAATTGAAGTAGTCAATAAGTTAACATTTTAGCTTAATTCTACTATTTAAGTTGTTTGTACCTACCCCTCGGACGTCAGTTGGGAAGAGCTCTCCCAGCATGGACCAAGGTAGCGAGGAAAATCCAATAGATGAGGACAGGACAAAAAGAAGAATAAGAGGCTCTGACAGCCAGGATGGGAGGGGAAGGAAGGAATTGAGAGTGAGTCCTAGGAGAGTGGCAGTCATAACAATACCAGACCAGATGGCAGGGCGTCGTCTGCCGTAGTGGCTACAGGCACCACTAGTGATGACGGCGGCGAGTGTGCGGGTCAAGCTGATACCCAGAGCAATGAGATAGGGATCTGCCTCCGAGCCTACGTTCTTGGAGAACTCTACCTGACAATGGAAACAGGGTAAGTACCGTACAGAAGAAAATAAATAAAATTTAATTATTCTATTGGTTGGCAAAATGAAATAGAGCTTCCATTCCCTTGTTAATTTTGTAGCTAGTTTTGGAACAAAAGTTAATGTATATTTTTGTGTACATCCAAGCCTGTGGCACTTTTTATGTTTTTTGTAAGGTACACAGTCTGGTCAAATTAACATCAAACGCTGACCTTTTGTTAAATAGCATCATTAATTGATAGCCCAATTACAAAATATGGTATTTGCTTCGTTACAATCTTGCTTTAAATGAAAACAGCAACCTTCAGGTTTGAAGGCAAGCACTATGTAGTTTATGGGCCAAATGAACCATGAATGAAGCCAAATGGGTGCACTGATATAAATTACTGATTTGTGTAAAATATGCAAACTTTTTAACCAAGCCAAACTGAAAGGAAATATCATTTCAAACTTTAGCACCTTTTTAAGTTGCATCAACAAACAGGATGCATCACTGTAAAAGGAAAAGGATGAAAATAGAATTTTAGACAGTGGTGGACTCTGTGATGGGCTGAACCAATTTGACATTTTATTCTAATACTGGCAACAGCTTTAACATATGAATGAAATGTCTAGATGTGTCCATCAATTGTTGTACTTACTGCAAACACAATCACAATTGTAACACCACTCATCTGTTGGAAGAGGAAGAACAGGTTCATGATGATCAAAGGCTTGTAAGCCTGAGGCTGAGACAGGAGACGTAGTGTTGATGCGGAATCTCCCTTCTCTTTTACCCTACTGCGGAATGTGGCCAGCTCTGCCGAGATATCTTCCACTTCTGCAGCAGCCCGTAGTTTTTGCAGCGCCTCTGCAGCTCGCTCCGTGTGTCCTTTGGTCAGCAACCACATCGGACTCTCAGGCAGTAACGGAGTCAGCAGCATCGACAGTATTGTCAGACCGAGCGAAAAATAGGTAGCTTCCTTCCAGGACGCCTAGAATTATTAATGCAGTTCAGTAAGTTTTTTTAGATGGGTTGATTTAGATGGCAATGTAGATTTACATAGTTTTGGATAGGTTTGCCTGCCAATTTGTGTATATTGTGTTTTTTGTTCTCACAAAAAATATAAATATGCTATAATCTCCGGATCACCAGAGGCTGAAGAGATTGGTAAACAAACTTTAACTATGGGATTAGAACACAGAACTCTTGGTTTGGAAAGAGTAATGGGAAGACAGTGTGAAGAAGTGGAAAATTAAACCTACCCTGTAAAACAATGCCCAGGTATAGATGACAGCTGTGCCAATGGACATCATAAAGGGTGTGAGAACCACCAAGGTGGTGCGAAGTGATGCTGAGACAACTTCAGCAGTGTAAGTGATACTTGCGCAGCTCGATAAACCAAGGCCAAATCCTAGAATCAAGCAAAACACTTTTTCACATTCCTAGTTCATTTATCATTTAGGAGATTATTGCAGACTTTTTGTATCATGATAAACAAAAGTTTCCACACGTTTTGATATTTGGTTTAAACACAAGAAAGGTTTGGTAGCGAAAAATTGCTCATTTCTGCTGTTTTGAAAGTCATAGAATGAATTGTGAAGACACTAAAACTGTTCAAGAAAGGATATGAAAAACTATTAGAGATAGGAAAATTGCAAAATGGTTTCAAAAATCAAACACGGTTTTAAATTGTAGCAAGGCATTTTAGAGGCACCTCAAAACTACGTAAATACCATTGTCAAAATTCTCGATTTTGCATCTTCCTAGAGCCACCATCTTGTGCAGACGTGTTCATGGTGTTCTACTAATCTGTTTTGTTACTATTGTTTTATCTAAGGGTTTTTGTTTGTTTGACTACCATATAGTTCTGTGTGCAGTTTTTATTTGTGAGTTCCAGCTTTGGCTTGATTTTGTATTTGTGTATTAATCCGGTTATATTTTACATTCTAACCATAGGGCTAGAACCCAAAAACATCATGAAAACTTTGATTTTTACCACATAATGGATCGGAAAGTAACCTCAACAATCTCATAAATAACATAAACTTACCATTACATAAGATCAAATCAACTTTTAACAAATCATTCAATCAATCAAAATAACTTTATTCATATTGCACATTTTATACAGAATGGAGTCAGTTATAAAAACACAATATTAAACTTAAAACTACTTACAGAGAATATTGTGTGTGTTATTATCAAAAATCAAATTTCAGGAAATTGGAAAAAATCGTCTATACTTTTGTAATCAAACCGTAAGAAGATATAGAAATTATGTACCTGTTAAAAGCCTGCCAGCGTAAAGGGCGATAAGTGAACTAGGAAACACTGCAATCACCAACCAGCCACTAGCGAATGACAGGTTGAGAAGCATCAAGCCTCTACGACGACCAAGCCAGTCTACCAGGGGACCAGCGACCAGACAACCAGCTGGCGCTGAGATGAACATGAGGCCGGCTGCGATAGTAACATGAGTCATTGATAATATAGTATTGACAAATATAATGATACCTTTAACTTTTGAAAGATGAAAATAGACATCAAGTTCCCATGTTTAAGTGGTCACCAGTTTTAGAAGAGAAATTAACTGAATTGAACCACCGAATGAGTTTGCTGGTGTTAATTACGGATTTCTGATAAATTTTATGACTAGGAAACTACAATATATAGTCAATAAATACCGGTAGTCATTTATACAGTCTTGGGAACAATAAAATATTGTAATCGACATTGTCATCATCAAAAAGAAGATATAAGCTACATTACCTATACAGGGTGGAAAAAATACACTGCCTCCTCAGGGAGACTAGAATCAGATCTTAAATGTAAGTATATACAGGGTGACACAAAGGAACCATACGTTTTTTAAATAAGTAGTACACAGTAGTTAAACGGAATCAAATAGTTTTAATACTGTACATAGTGAGGTAAACAATTGCCATTTGTTACAAAACAGTTATTTTTTGAAAATGACGTCATGCATATGGCGGCCATGTAATTTTCTACATATGTTCATTCTGGTCTGAAAATCATCTGAAACTCGGGTCAGGAGGTCTTGTTCAATGCCATTGTATCTTCTGAGATTGCTAACTTCAAATCCTCTAGAGTGCGTGGTTAGTGAGCATAAACACGCTCCTTAAGAAACCCCAAAAGGAAGTAATCATTAGTGGACAAGTCAGGTTACCTTGGCGGCCACGGTATGTCACCAAAGCGAGAAATCACCTTGTTAGGAAACATTAATTCAATACTGCTCTCACTCTGGCGATGTTTTATGGTGTTCTTGAAGTTCTGACAAGGCCTGGTGGTTTCTTTCTTGTTATATTCCCAATTGTTCGGAACCCTGAAACCCGTCCTAATAGCGTATTTCGGCTTGGAACCGTTCCATAGCATTCAATATTAACATGTCGACTAAATTACCAATGGATTTGACGACGGATTCGCCTTTTTAGACTAAAGTATCGTATGTGAAATCGCGATGGTCTAGGGTCCACTGAGCCATTTCAACAAAAATGGCAAGCCTCACTGAAGGTAATGACATGACTTCAATCTTCCTACCACGTGCGACAACAATAGAACAGCTGTTTAAAAAACGTCCGGTTCCTTTGTGTCACCCTGTATAATGCACACGAAATATAAGTTCTTTTTATTAGTAAAATACACTGGCACAAACCCAAACTCATTGGGATGACCGAGCCAAAAATGTTAGCCATTCAAAGATATCTTGAATTTGCAAAAGGGGCCCACTAGGAGTCAGAAGAAAATCTTAAATGTTAGCATAGGTTTATATGCACATCAAATAAAAGTTCTTTATGATTAGAATACAATGCTGCAAACTTGAACCCAAAACTACACCCGAGTTTAAAAATTGGCAGTTGTTTAAGGATCTTGAATTTTAGAATTTTGCCTGTTCTCGCAAAGCCTGCAAGAGTAAACAGTACAAAATTTTGTGGCACCGGATGCGAACCAATGACATCGCTGCCGAGGATCCATAATTTGCCTCGGGACTGAGCCACCATCCCAGTAAGACAAGAGTCCAATGAAGGTTTTAGTATATTTTATTACAGAATGTGTACTGCAACAGTTCCCTGCTACATGTTATACACATACCCACCCAAGAGGCTTGTTCCAGGGTAGCATGAAGTCCAGGTCCAGATCCTAGCAGGGGCGGCAACACGGCAGAGGGAAATCCCAGCACAATCCCACTATTGAGTATCCCCAGGTTAGCCAACACGGAGGCTGCCAACTGAATCAATATTGATAACATAACAATTTTGCTCTTTAAATCACCTGCTTGCTTTATAAATTTGAAATGGGAACAATATTAGTTGAAATAAATAATTTAGGTTGGGAATTTTAATTATCCTAATCATAGTACACATTAGTTCATTGACTATATTTTCAGACAAATTCAGGCTTGAGAGATTTAAACAAAAACAATTTTGAATTCCATGGTCATTGAAACTTTGTTTGACTAAAAAACTATATGTCTGGTAAATTTTTGACAGTGGTCGAAACTATGGTTTGTTCACAAAATTTAGGCAGTTTAAGGGGAATGTTTTCTAGGTTCCCCCGCCACTTTATTTAGCTTAATGTATCAGCTGATCAGTTGTCAGCTGTTGTTTTATAGTTATGGTGAAGTTGAGGGTATGGATCGCTTCCCCTCAAACTGCCCAAATTTTCTGAACGGGTATAAACATATTCTACCCTTGTTAAAGTTGTACTGGAGTAGCTATAGTTTTATAACAAATTGAACGTATTTGAATTGAGATATTTACAGAGTGCGCTGATGACCATTTAACCTATTCCCTTCTAGTATGCTTAATTTTTCACCGTGCCACACCGTAAGCACAACTTTTTGCAAACTATAGCATATTTTCTGTTACAACCAACTACCAATAAGTTAAGTATCTTAAATCCTTGAACGAGAAAATAGATTTATGACAGTAGCACACTTTATGTTAAGTGGCTCATTCAAATGTGTTCTGTTGGAATAAACAATTAGCTACAACTAATGCATGTATATAGGATGTGTACTTTAATATTCAAAAGTTAATGTTGTAAATACAATAAAAGGAAATCACCCAAATTCCCAAACGGGTGTTGATGCTAATGGAGTTAAAAGTTACCCTGACAAAATGTTTCATCCTAATCTTTTACAATTAAATTCAAGGCCAAAACTATTAGAAAAAACACATTTTCTGGCAAATAGAAGGAAGTATTAGAGCTTGTCCATAGAATACTTACAGAAAAATCTGCTAACATGTTTAACAGTTTGCGTTACAAATTTTATCATAATATGCTTGTTGAATATGAATTTTTTCCCATTACTGTGTCTAGTGAAGTGATACAAATTTGATAGTTGTGATAACAAAAATACAAACTGAAATTCACTATTTATACACAAAAAATACAGTTACATTAATTTAAATTAAACAGATTTCCTTTCTTTAATAAACAAAACAAACTTGTTGCACAACATAACATTAAGTGTAAATGGGATTTAGTAAGCCAAACAATTCATATTAAAATTTTGTTTGCTAGTTTAATTCATTATATTTAGAAAATTAGTGATTTTATTACTTTGAAATGGCAACCAACCCATTGATGTGGTGTGATCAATATCTTTGACTATTCCAAAAGTCAATGTCAATATCAAACCAAATTTTTTTTTAAATAAAAGTAGGCTACTCCAAATTTGCAAATGTTTTGTCTTTTGTATAAGGTAAAATATTATTTTTCACTCAACTTATACCGTAACATGAATTTGCATTTGGTAAACAGTTCTGATTAGTGCTATACCTGTAATTTGCTTTAGAAATGATTTACTTCTTCAGAGTAAAAATTGTTATTACTGTAATTATTTAATCAGTTATTTAATTCAAACAATACCTGAACTAAAGTAGATTTTAAACCAGTGGAACATCTCATTAACACCATTATTTGAAAACACTTTTATTTGTTGAACCAATCGATTGATTTGGCCACACTACAGATTAAGATCAATGTGTATCACTAGAATCAGTCAACAGTCGTAAGTCGGACTAAACTGTGGTTTATTGAGGTGGAGAAAAGTCATATTACATAAATGGTGTTTTATCAACAAGGTCAATATAGGTAGCTTTTCTCACATTTAACTTTATGACAGGTTGTATAAGTTAAGACGAAGCCCATTTAAATGATTGTGTAACTTACAAAAAATCTGTTGTCAAAAAGAATTGTTGGACTTAGCCATAGACCTTAAGAGGTAAAATTTACTACAATTGCAAATACTTTATGTTCATCAACTGCAAAAACTAAAGGATAGGATGAGAAATAAAGCACACACTGTTTAAATATTTAATTTAGGCTATCACTACAACTTAAAGTCGTTAATACAAAAGTACCAAAGTCCAAAGAGATCATGCTATTAAATCATTTCACTGGACCCGTTAATTTGGAAAATTTCAAAGAAGAATAATATTAGTGTAATTTTTATAGGTCTAGAAGTAATTTTATTTTGTACTGTAACATGACGACAAAAATCATACTCTGTTTTGGTTTTTATTATTTCACAGTTAGTTGATTGGTTATTGTTTGGTAGGTACCGTACCACGCATAAGGTTTTTTGTTGTTGGAGTCTAAAAAAACACTCACTAGCAAGGTTTAATCGCATGATCTGTACACCTTTAGATACCTTTAGACACCTTTAGATACCTTTAGCAAAATAAAACATTTCAAGTACAGCAGACCTCAAACTGTTTGAACTCTAGCCACAACTAGGGTACCGGTACCAAACTTTTTGAGATAAATTATTTAAAAAATAATCAATGGCTTTCTGAATTTAGTTTAAACAATAATCAGAGGTGGTGACTAAAAATTAAGATATAGTTTCTTGAAAGTCGCCAAAGTATGTATGTTATATTGGAGGTACATTCAGGTTTTTACTTGGGAGGAACAAAGCTAAGAATTTTAATCTTATCTCTAAGTATGTAAACCAGAGTATATATGTAAGACCGGTCCCATTTCTCATTTTTAGTGTACCGGTACCACTGTGCTATTTCAAATGTCAAAGGATTCTTATCTTTATCAAGAGCTGGTAATATTGAGTTTATTCAAATTTAATTTTTTGTTTTATTTTTTTATTTTAAATTTGCCAAAGGATTGTCAAGGATTTCACATTAATCAAACTCTCTCACTTAAAGCTCTTTTCTTATATATGTACCATAATTATCATACATTTTAATTATCAGTGAGGAATCCAATCTTATTTGATTCAGATAATTTAAAAACAGTCTTCCAATAAAACTAAAAATAAATAACAGTACGTTTGTCGTTTCTCATACACAGAAACATTGGTCACTCTTTTACATGAGTATTTTAAGTAAACTGTTCACAAGTCTTAAAAATTGCAACAACACAATATTAAAAATGTAGTGATCTAGAATCACTAAATAGAAATGTTTTGAATGCTTTTTCATAGAGCTATTCAACACACAAATTAAGTTTTCCATTTTTGTTCCTTGATGTATCGAAGCAATGTCGTACATTAATCCGACTCTATTCTATTTGAACGTTAACACACAGTTCTACTTCAGCAACTACTAAGTAAAGCAGAGCAACATCAAGGTGTTGAGATCGTAGTTTTGCGCAATAACACTTGGACCAACTAGGAACATGATCACCGCATCGTAGACTTCACTATGGTTGCTTTCTTCGACTTTTGTAAAGCCACTTCCTCTTCTTCCTGCTGAATACTTCGTCTTGCTCCTGCAAGAAATTTGTAAGTAGATTATCAAAACTACACCATACTTTGATAGATTTATATTGATTATTGATATAACCACGTCTCGATTTGAGGTGAAATGAGGCCTACTTTTTCAAATATGCTTTGTAATCAGCACAAAAAATAAATTTTTGTGAAATGCAGTAGAACGACGATCAATTACTCCCCATATATAAATTACAAAATTATTAAAACGTTTGGTACCGGTAAAATAAATACTATATGGTTATGGTTTTTGTACGTTGGTAAATCAAATTGCTTTATATAGTTTTATAATTCTAGTAATTTCTAGCACTAAATTTGTACAAATCACTGCATCTAACAGCCTTTACAACAAAAAGTAGTTCCAAAGATATAATGAAATGAAATGAAATATGTTTATTGTCCTTAGAATTTTCACAAATTATTGACAAAGTCATACACCTGCTAAGGTTTATAGCATAGTCAGTTAATAAATACAGTAAAATACAATATAGCTAACTACATAAAATGAGAAATTTTACAATACATATTTTAAATATTACAATTGAATAGGTGATCTTATTCTTAAGAAAAATGTGTGGGGTTGAAAATAATGGAAGTGATTAAACCGCATAACCAACAAAGTGCAACAGTACTTTGATCAATTAATTTATTTATTATTTAATAATAAAGTAATATACACACTAGGATCTACCTTTAAAACTTTTCAAGAGTAAACTGAAATTTTTAAAGACAATTCGTCCATCTATACTGTTGTAAAGGGATATTTTTTCATATTAATATACTTTTTATTTCTTGATGGGTAGCCTCTGGACCATACTGCAACAATAATAATGGTTTAATTTACCTCTGTCAATATGGTCCTTGCGTAGTTTGTCACTATTGCAGTTTCGTGCTCGTGGAGCACATCTTCAGGTGAAGGTCAAAAAGTTAAAACATTTTCCTCACGTGAAGGTCGTCAATTTTTGAAAACACACCGAAAAACACATACACACGAACGGTACTAAAAAACATTTATGAACTTGACCAATACATTAAAACCAATACATTGAGTCATGACTTGTCTTCTACTGGCGCCGGACCCCGTGAGTAACGTTTTTAATGTGTATTGGCCAAGTTCATAAATGTTTTTTCGTACCGTTCATGTGTATGTGTTTTTCGGTGTGTTTTCAAAAATTGACGGCCTTCACGTGAGGAAAATGTTATAACTTTTTTACCTTCACCTGAAGATATGCTCCACGAGCACGAAACTGCAGTAGTGACAAACTACGCAAGGACCATATTGACAGAGGTAAATTAAACCATTATTATTTTTATTTATCTTGACTTTGATTTACTTGATACTACTGTATAATTTATAATTATGTCAAGTTTTGAGGGTTTTGACATAAGGATTTTCATGAACGAACCAATATGTACTCTAACCTTGTATACAGATGTCCGTTTAGTTTTTACTAAAATAAATCTCAACTTAGTAAAATGAAGTAGTTTTCAAGAGCTTGACATGTACAGTCTATGATTATTAACAAGAACTATTCTTATTACAGTAGAACCTCTTTATTCCCAACCCCCGTAATCCGAACGCCTCATTGAACTGTACTCTACACACAGTACAGTAGTTATTTATTGTATACGTATGCACCGTAATTGTTTTTATTGTAATTTACAGTACTGTTTATTTATTATGTTTACTACTGTATTAAATAAACACTGTACCGGTATTATACTTTATAAAGCATTTTTTCACTCTTCCTGTAACAATTAAGAGCCATTTTAGCCACATTTTAGCTATTCTTATGTAAAAACAACAATATGTTGTGTAATCCAAACTATTCAATAATCCAAACTACCCCCCACCCAATTAGTTCGGATTAAGGAGGTTCTACTGTAACAATCGATATTCAAATCTGCGGTTAATTTCTAGGGTTCATGTAAAATATAGTGGATTTTTTTAAACATTCGCTCAATTTTAATGTTTATTACCTTTGTTCATGAATTGCAGCTCAATCTCTTGAAGTGTTTTTCCTTCAGTCTCTGGTAGGAAAAAGACAACAAATATAGTACCCAGAAGAGCCATAATGCCGAAGAAGTAAAACACCCCGTGCTTGTCAAGTACTTTCTTCATGTGAGGGTACATCTTAAGTACCAGGAAACTGATTCCGTAGGCAGTACATGTTGTCAGCCCACTGGCTACCTGTATAACAAAGTGAATGTTTCATTTGATAGTAATTGGTACCAAGTGTCAATAGCTTTAAAATAATCTCTTTACAGAGTCAGTATTTTTTTGTAGGTCACTTAATCTATTGTAAGTGTGAGCAAACATTCATTATTACTTACTATATGTTACTATTTGAATGGGAGAAATGTTGAAATTTTATACAAAAATCTGAATATGATGGTATGAATAATGAAAATGGTTCAGAGCAAAACAACACATTGTATATCACTTTGCTACAATATATGAAGTAGGTACTGTAAGATCTTCTCTATATCACAAATAGGTCTTTAAAAAAATGTTGTTATGACAAACAATAATACGAGAATTAAAAATGTATATTACAAATTAAAATGTTATTTCATTTCTTTACCTAACCCGCCATGTTAAACTTCCCTATCCCAAGCATGATGTAAACAATTTCTTTACTTCACTTGGTGAAGTAAAGTTTCAAAAACTCACTCGGTGAAGTAATGAAACCCATTTAAATAACATTGAGTGCTCAACTTAAAAAAATATACCTCTATGGAGCCAGCGACGTTCAGCGCTAGAAATCAGCTGTGTGTGCTTGAATTTTATCGTTATGCTTTAAAGTATTTTCCTAACCTAGCTTTTGTTTGTAAAAGAACATTACTGTTAGAAGATGAGTGAAATGGATAATGAAAAATATTTTATGTAACCCCCGGTATTTGTCGGGTCAGGTAAAATCTTGTACGTTACACGTTATGCAAGAGCGTGTTTACATCACTTCGGCGAATTATGCAACTCCCTTCCGCTCATTGCACAACATTCACCTGTGTGATGTAAAAACGCTCTTAATACACTTGTAAGGTAAATAGCTATTATAGTACCTACTCAATTAACAGGTTCCATTTTACTTTACATGGGGGCCGACTATAATATTTATAAAAATTGCTGCTAAATAAGTTTGTGTCACCAATATAGTCCTACAATTCAGTCCCTGTGTGGTGTGCAAACTCTTTTTATTTACTCATCATATTGTAACCTAACAACTTTACAGTCTACACTAATAAAACCATCTTAGGTATGGTAATGATTAATTTTTAAATCTGTTCTGTCACACTTTTCTTCCCGTTGTGTATTGAGCTGATGTTGAACTGAACCAAGATGATGAGGTATGTAACCAACACTCCGGTCAGATGAAGAAACACTTTCCTGTTGATGGTGACGTATCCACTGAGTGTAGCGAGAGGTGGTACAGACCTGACGCAGCGTAGAAACAACCGCAACTCATTGTTAACTCTTCCCTGGGTCAGATGAGACTTGGGATTGTGAACAAAAAGAATTTCTTGAACCCTTTCACATTCAGTCGTCATACAATGTCCAGAGTTGCAGAACATGTAGAGGAGACTACCGTAGAAGAGGAACGTTAGACCTGTAGCGATCGCTTCAGCAGAATCCCCAGGGTCGCCGCTTTGAATACTCTGGATAACGTAGATGGTCAGGTTGTAAGCGGCAATCACCTCGTATGCGAACGGAGTTGTGACCATAAACGCCATTGTGTACGACAGCATAGAGCTACCGTCCCGCACCAGCTGGGTAAGTCGCATCCAGACAAGTCGATAATCCTCAAGTCGATCAGCTGTTATGTCTGCTGCACACTCCCTGGCGAGGTGTTGGTAATATTGACGAGACGCTTGCATTATGGCTGAACCGTTAGAAAACCATAAAGTGTAAAAGCACAACTGAATAAAAATATGATAGGAGATGACGAGGTAATCCGTCTTGCTTTTGATGCTTTTGTCATCGATTCGGTCTAAAAAGTGAGGGTAGATAGCAGCGAGAAACGTCGACCCCATGAGCATCAAAGCTATTTTATTCCTGCAGTTCAGCTTGAGCTCACTACCAACCACGAGTTTAAACTGAGTCTCAAACTCCCTCCATCGCACAAGGTACCTGTTAACAGCTATAGACTCTGGCCAAGTCAGCAAGAAGTAAAATACGTGTTGAGTAAGCAGCATCATCAATGTCACTTGGATTGTGACTGAGCTGAAGTCATCGTCGTGCAAGATGAGTCTAAGAATGTGTACAGTCACTGAGTAAGACAGATATGCAAATAATACATATACAGACAAACAAATACCACCGCACACCAAAACTTGAATCTTGTGGCTGGCTATTTTAAGTCTGAAAACTGGCAGAGTGCCGGTCATAGTCAAAACAAGAAAAATAAGTTTCAATGACTCGTAGTAAATATTTTTTCTTAAGTTAGGTTTTAGATTTGCTATCGGAGTTTCGTCCACTGAGCCTTTCACAGGAGTTTTAATCCATGGTGGATTGTCCTCATGGAAGGTCATCCCATCTAGATATGTAACAGTTGATCTAGATATCGTCTTCATGTTGGTAATATTTTATAACTTCAATAAACCAAACATAAAATTTAATGGCTATAAATAATTAAATGTGTGAATCATTGCTTGGTTTGGATCAATTAAGTACAGGAACACTCGGCCACTAAAACTCACAATTGACTCATTAACAATAACTAACTATTCTAACTGGCAGTCTTTTGAAAACTGAACTCAACTTCCCTAGTGACAACAGTGGCAAAAAGCTTGTGTCAACATAAATGTTAATTATTATGATGTTTTCATGTTTGCTGGGTCCCTTAGGCAGTTGCATGCCAGTGGGTGTTTACCCAACGTATTTGCTCAACGTTTTACCCTCTAGGGAGATCAACAAAGCATGCAACTGACTCTAACCTTTACACGCCTTACATTTTATATGAATCTATGGTTAAAATATAATGATAGAACGAATGTTCTGTACAAATATTAAGATTTAAAAGGTTTGGATTACCGGATGCGTCAATTGATCATTAAAATAACAAAGTAGTTATTTCATAAACACAAGGATAAAATTACACAAAAGGTAATCTAAACATTTTAAATCTTGCATTATCTTGATCCAGAAGTTATCCCACAAAAAAATAACTTTCCTTTCATTCTTCCAACTAGGATAGTTTTGCACTCTGTCCCTCATGATATTTAGTTTTATAGAAAGATGTATATTTAGTTATTATATCTGCCAATGTCAAATGCATCATTGTAGGCCTATATGCCTAACAACAAATATAAATCTTGAATCTTACTTATGGATGTACATGAAAATGTGAAAATCAAATAGCGATAAATGCTTGCTATTCAATAGGGTAAATTGACTATAAGATTAATGAAAAGTATTGTTTAAACTATAATAAAACGTGACGGTGAATACCGTTCCCTAAATTGGGATGAGGAGGAAAATTAATTCATTTTTACTTAGCCTCCTGGATAGTTTATATTGGGACTGAACTATGATATACGTTCTGCCAAAAATACAGCATATGATCAATAAATTAAATCAATTAAAAAATTTAGGCTACACTTTGATTTTATACAACTATTTAAGTAAAAACTTTGACTAGTCAATGGTAACAATCAAGAATCACAAGCCCTTTTGTCAATTTAACCAATCGATAAAACATGTTTATTAAATATATTTCTTCATCATAGAAACACACCTAATTATCTACTTAAACATAAATAATGATAATTGCTAGATCAGCGAAGGTAAGCTAGCTTTCTATCCTTTTAATCTACAAATCATAATCCTAACCTAGAGCCTTTCCTTGAACAAAACTTATCACTAAAACAATTAGCGGATTTAAAAGAAGTAAATATTCAACAAAGCAACTGAATGGGACAGTGTCATCGTCTTGTAATCCAACTACTTGGAGGTCACAAATTGTGGATATTTACAGGCATAATCTGTGGTTGCGATACTCCCTGGTGTGGATTAACGTCTGCACTAGTGAGTATTTACGACTATCCACAGTATCCTGATAATTAAACCAATCCATTAATTACAGGTTAAAAACGTGGTTCGGATTAACTTACACCATAAACTGTCGGACCCTTAGTTGCCATTGGCTGTATGGGCTGTTATATACAGCTGTGTGTAAGGAATAAGGAACATGTCAGCCTTAGTCACTAACAAAACTAAAAGATTGCACCACTCATCCTAAACTAATATCTATTCATACTTGGCTTAAAGTACCTACCTTTGTATGGTTACCATTTCAGAAAAAAATATTCAAGTACATTCCAAATAAAATCTCAACTAACCCCTCTAACTTGAGCAGGGTAAACCTCTCCTATCATGGACCACGGCAGCGTGAGAAAGCCAATGGTACTCGCGAGGATGTAAAGAAGAAGCATTGTCACAGGAAGAAATGATACAGACTCAACTGTCTCCACAGCTGTAGAGTTGAAAACATCTGTAGTGTTGAGAATGTCAGAGAGGTTACTAGTAGAGAGCTTAGTGACAGAAGGAGTGGGAGAGAGAAGGTAAAGATGAGTGGCAAGAGTGATAAGGGAGAGAGTCATTCCGACCCCAGACAAGATGGCTGTCGGCCGACGACCGAACTTCTTGGACAGATACGCGGCCAGGAAGGTGAATACAAGACGGGTTAGACCAATCAGCACCGTGACCAGGAACGGATCTGTTTTGACACCAGCTTCTTGCACAACATCCACCTGAGGACAATATGTTAGGAGTCAGAAATGTGAAATAGTATTGATTCAAATGAGTCATAGCTACTATGGATGAAACTAGATTCCACTCCCTTGTTAAAGCTGTTGCAAGTTTTAGAATAAAATTACCGTAGTTGTTTTGAACCACTGACTGTGTGTTGATGTAAATTATTGATTTCGGTTGGATACGCTAAAAGCCAAACCAAATGCACAACTTATTGTAAACTATGGCATGTTTCAAGTTACATCAACTATCACAGTAAGAAAAAAACTAAGGTAGAAAATGTATTTTTGGAATGTAGCTCACTGTTTGAGTGGATCATTTAACTATTTTTTTTTAAATGTTTTCTAAAGCTGGTCTTCTTTAGTATTCATTATTCAGTGATGCTGTTAGTATAAAATCTATAATAATATTCTCAAACATTTAGAGAAGAAAATAAGAAAGCTGCTTGGATAATTTTAACCCTTTGGATTACTTTTGTGCCGATTAAAAAATTCCTACGGCATAGATAAACACAAATTAAAACAAACAACAATCCGGCTACCATGATTAGCAATGTGATATTCCATGGTGCTTACGAATTCACCAATTCCTTCCAGATTTGTGTTATGTAATGGTATTTTGACAAGAGTCAAAAGATACACTAGCGTACTCACAGCATAAAAAATAACAACAAAAGTGCCAGTGAACTGCTGGAAGAAGAAGAAGGTGTTCATTATGATGAGAGGCTTCCAAGCTTCTGGACGACTCAGAGCCTTGAGTGTAGTAGTGAGAGAGAGAGATCGTCGAGTGTTCTTTCTAGCTCGGTCCTCCAGCAACTGCAATTCTTCATTCACCTAAAACGGACAAGTTGTAACTCTTTTTAAGTAGCAATTTTTTTTGTCCTAGGACACTTGGGCTTTAGCCCGGGACCGTTTTTCAAATTACTTCAGGCTAGGCCTAAGGGTTATCATATTATTAATTAGATTAAACACATTTGTGATTGGCAGGATTTGAACCTGCAGGTTGGTAGGGAAATGAAATGAAATGAAATGAAAATCCTTCTTTATTGAGGCGAACTTAGGACCTCACGGTCCTTTCTTACAGTTAACCTCTAGAAAACTAACAATACTGATAAACATTAACAAAATAAAACAATTAAGATTGAAATAAACAAATAGGTGTAACATTACATAAATGCATTTCCCTAACACACAATCACACACACATACACCCTCTGCTGCACCCAGGCCTAATGCACGCCATCCCGCCACGCCACGGCCATCCGGTTAAGGTAATATTCTTTCAGGAAGTCCCACGCTCTTCCACTAGACCAGCTTGCTCCCCAAATGTATGTAAGCTATGTAGTTAAAATAAATAACCCTATCACTGATAATTTTTTGAGCTACCAACTGTCCAAGCTTGAAAAGCAAAAATACCCTGTTTACTGAAAAAAATTAAGTTTTAAGGGCTTATTTTGAATTTGGGATGTCTGTGATAACTCATAGAAACATTTACAGGGTGTACTACGCTTAGCCTGGCAAATGTTAGGTACAAATTTTGAATGGCTGCCATTTTTGTACTGAGTTGAAATATAAGTCCCTATGGTTTTTTACTTTATCTTCTTCTCCTGGTAGTCTATTATTGCCAAGGTCTGATTTCATAATTTCATGCTTAATATCCCTTATGATGTTAAGGGCAAGCGCGGATTAGTTGTTGATTTTTATTGGTTTAATTTAGCTAAGTACCTATGGTTATTGGTTATCAAATTAGTTAAGTTATCCTGACCAGGCCTTATGAAGAGTTATTCTGGCCATGTTTCAACCAGAAAGAAAGTTATGTGTCCTCAGACATCCAGTTGGGTAACAGACACCCAATCTCTCATCAACCTCTCCTAACATAAACAGTTCCACCATGCTGTAGCTTTTTTAGGGGTAACTTACTGGCTAAATCTTAGGTTTTTTATATATTTAGAATTCCTTATTTATTAGAAATCTTGACAATGTACCTGTCTGTGTATTACGTTTGTAATAACTTTAACAGATATTATGTACAATCTATATATATAATTCCGTAAGTCAAATTTTTGTAAAGAAATTGTGAGTGACTGGATGGCCGTAGAAGGATGGGAGGGGTCTTATTTTAAAGGTCTTGACGTGAATTTTGAGGGAAAACTATTCATTTTTCTTATTTTTTTACCATAAATTCGCAACAGAATAAAACTTTTCCCATTAAAACAACATGGGATTTAATTTGTTTACATCTTTTGAAATTAAAACAGCTGTGCCACAGATTTGAAAACAGTGATCAATACACGCATTTGGTTTACTTTTAGCCAGTCAACTATGAAATGTATACTATAATAAAACTGAAATATTGAAGATTAGACGGAAAATTCTTTGTTTATATTTAAATCATATACTCAAGTTTCATTTTTTCATGCTTTTACGTTATTGTCGTGTTAAAGGAATAAACGACATAGAATAAATATTTTGTATAAATAATCAAAGAGTCAAAATTAAATCTAACTTCTGTTTTGTTTTTATTTTTAAATCATATGTTCAAGTTTATTTTAAATGATGTTGTTTTCTTTATATTTCTACACATTTTAAGGTTAAGGTTGTGTAAATATATACAACTAAAATAACCTATAAATGTTATTGGTTCTAAAATGGTGTATTTGCATTCCTTCGTAAGTAAATCTTTTTAGTGCAGTGAATATACAACGTAGAGTAATCATATTCGATCATACTTTTATAAAATCACCAGGGATTCAAGATGTTTTGGTATGTAGGCTGCTGGATATATATTCTTTTCATTATAAGTACTGTAATTAATATGAACGCCAGGGGAATACCACAAAGGCGGGGAACTGTTCATAGGAATGACAGTGCGCGTAGGAGAGCAAGAGTAGATAATGACGAACTTAATCAAGATATGTTACAACCCCTTTTTAGGAGACCCATGGTAGACGAGAGAAATGTAAAGATCCATGATGCAGGATTTCTGGACCAAGAGTGCATTCAATGTAGTGCTCTTCATTTTAGAGAAGAACTAACGAATAATCATTTTATGACATGTTGCCATAACGGACTTATTAACCTTCCTCAGTCAAAAACTAATGTAGAACTTAAAAGTTTGTTTGAAGAGAGCCCACAACTGTATAAATTCATTCGACAATGCAACAGTGCGATGGCTTTTGCTTATTTTTCAGCCAGTAAGAAAGATATTCCAGGAAAAGGTCCTGGTTTAACTCCCGTTTCTCAGTTAAACCTTCTGCTGACGTAATTTCGTCCAAGCAGCTGAGTTAAGGACCATACTGTTTCAAAATTCAAGGACAGATTTATCGTTCAATCTCAGATTTGCTGCCTCAACATGATGAAGACCCCGTGTATGGCCAATTGTACATTATTGACACATTAACAGCAACAGAAATTCGTCAAAGGCGTCGAGAAAATAGTGACTTAAAACCTGAAATATTGTCAAAACTAGCTGAAATTCTATTAGAAAATCATTTTGCACAAATTTACAAAAGGACTTAGGAAGAAATGGTTGTACAAGGTGACAGTGAATTAGAACTTAGGTTTGTAGAAAGGATAAATATGGATCGTCGTAGGTATAATAAGCCTACTGCAGATGAAATTGCAGGCGTCTTCAATTCATCTGAAGGCGAACCTCCAAATGAATTTTTAAAATTCCAAACAGGGAAGCTTTTATTTAGGGTATCCTAATTAACCACAAGACCAAAGCTACCTTAGTAAACCAGTTGTTTGCCAATGATATGTTTGCTGCCTTTTCATGTTAAACCACTGGAGTGATTGAAATTATTTATTGAAAATGACATCAACAAAAGCAAACAAAGAAGAACAACAAACTGGTTTTTACACAAAAGATATGGTGTAGGGATGCCTATTTCTGACACATAGATAATGTTATTCTGAGTTTGTTTAAATACCGGTATTGCAAAAAGTTGTTTTACATTTGAGCTTTTTAGGGACTTATGTCCCTACAAGCCACTAGTAAAGAATTGTAATTTGTCATTTGTCCTCCAAATTTAGGTAGGAACAGTATTACTCAAAATATTTATGACTTTGGAGCCCCAATTACACTGCAACTTTTGTAACAAATCTCCCTTAAACTTTTTTTAAATATCCCTATTTCATTAAATATTAGCAGCACCTGCAATACCTGAGCAGGTGTGTTGGCTCTGTTGATACGCATGAGTGCGTGAGACGCATCCTCCAATCTGTTCTTGGCGACGAGCCAGACTGGACTCTCTGGGAGGAAGAAGAAGACAAGAACTGTGGTCAGCACAGGGAACGCAGCACATATCAGGGCGACCAGCTGCCATTGCGACTAAAAACACCATGACCACTATCTATATTACCGGTAGTATTAGTATTTTAAGTATCAAACAAGAATTTTGTAAACTAATAATTTTGCTACTCCTGGACCATCACTTAAAATTGTACCATTAGATATCTGTTTCATGTTCTTATTTCTAAATTTGCGCTGATAGCCATTGTGTTTTCAAGAAAATAAATTAGAACAGTTTGAAAGGTTTATGGTATAAGTCAACCAATATATATTACTAGCGCACCTTTTGCTCGAATTCGAGCAATTGCAAAGTATTATGGGCGTTATTTCAAAACGAGTAACAGTCATAATTTTCGATTACTTAAAAGAGTCAACTCAAAGATAATGTAATCAATCACTCCACTCCAGTTATAGAAAACTGAAAACGAATGCTCTTGTGTATCATGTGTTTACTATAAACAGATGTAATTAATACAAATTATTCGTCCGTTTAAGTAAACAAAATCTTTAATCCGTAAGAAATACATTGGGATTTTGATGGCATGTGGGGCAAAGCCCGAGGACCTTTATTACAGGAGTTGGTGAAAGGGGACATCTACACAAACACAGAGAGCAGAAGATTTTGTCTTCATTTTGACACATCGTTTGAAAAATCCGTCCATTATTAACAGAGGAGTAGTGTTCAGTAGAAATTGCCTTCATGTATTATATATAAGGATTTGGTGTTTTGGCATGTTTCACTTTTTGGTAAGGGAATTGTAATAATCCTAGTTTTGTAACCATCTGACTTTGACTTTTGTTAGAGAGCATCATGAATTGATAGCCCAATGATGAATTGTATTATAAAAATGAAATAGTTTTTCAGAAGAGTTTGTAGTGTATTACTAGTTTTTACCTTCAAAAGTTTAACCAAGCTAACAAAATTACAATTATTAAAAATAGGGAAACCAGTAAGATTTGTTCATACCTTGAGAAGAGCTCCGAGGGTGTAAACAATGACGACTCCCATTGCGATGGATACTGAAGTCCCGGTGACCAACCATCCTCGGATACTACTGTCAGCCACCTCGGCAGCATACACCGTGGCCGGGATACTGCACAAGCCCGTGCCGATACCTGTGCTGATCCGGCCCAGGTACATCTGCAGACATTCATACTTTGTATATAGTAGGAAAAACAGTTGAGATCTTTAAGATTCCATTTTGATTCTGTTTATGTTATTTGAAAGATTGTTGCGGACATGTGCTATAGATTTGAGAAAACTAGTTTTCTCAACTTCATTTTAGGATCTGCGATCTGATCACGTCCTCATGTAAGAAAAGTACCTAAATCGTAACAATATTAGTACATAAACCTGACTGAGTTTCACAGCTGGAAATCACAAAAGATTAAACACCACACAGATAACTGTATGGTAGTCAAAACAATAATTAAGAAAAAAAACCCTGAAATAAAACAACAATTATTACGAATACTGAAAATTGTTGGCTAACACAATGTCTGCCTGCACAAGAAGATAGGATGGTTCAAGCTAGGCTCTACCCATCTTCTCGCTTTGTCTCATGGTTTTTGTCAGAGTCACTATCTCAGTTGTGACAATATTTACTGTGAGACATTTCTCACAATCCAGCTCAACCTTTGTACCCTGAATACCAGCAACACTGATTTGTCTTTTGATCCTGAAAAAAGTAGGAAGCTTTTTGATACCTAGGTAAAAACTGAGCAGAGCATTCCATGATCATTTGACTTTCAATAAATCATCTCGGCTAAAGAAACGGCTGTTTCTTAGAGGTCATCTGAGAAAAATTAACATCGTTCAGGAAAGTGACTGCCGATTCAGCCAATCAGGGGAAGCCAATTGGATCAGGGGAATATATTGGCTGGATGTGTTGCGGTTGGGTAAAACAGAGCCAAGAGCTTGGGCACGGAGAAGCTCTACCTACAGCCACCATAGGTAGCAGTTGGAGATTTTCCGCAGTTACAAGGATCTGTCGCTGGGGTTTGAATTGGAGGTGTACAATGTACAGGGGTTTGGATTGTAGGTGGTTCTATAGGCAAAGACTGGAGACTTGTTTGGGGGACACGGTAGATCTTACAGGTTACAGTGTAATCTTCCCAGGTATCATCAGTATCAGTAAAAAAAACAGCTGATCTTATAACAAAACTACACACAGATTAACTCACTCCGTTCTACATTCACTTTCATTCATATTTCAACTTAAAAAATGCACCTAGGTGTGCATTTTCTCTTGAAGTATTGAAAGTGATGATAATGATATAACCAAAATGAAAGTTGGAAAGAAAATGTTGTTTGCCTGATGACGTGGCAAATTGATGGTGAGGGAGGAAAAATACCACTTTGGGTATAAAGTAAGGAAGTGGATGTCAGTAAGTACACACCTGTATGAGTGAGGGACTGAGTCCAATGAGGAGCCAGCCTAGTATGAGGGGAGCTGAGATGACCAGGAGAGCCGTGCGTCGTCCGAACCTGTCCAGCAGATGTCCACTCAGCAGACAACCCACAGGTGTGGCTATGGAGGCCAAACTGGCTGGCAACACACAATATAGGCATCACCAAGCGAACTGATAAGTTGAGCAATATTCTTCAGGGATGCTGTTATAAATGGGCCCGGACCTAGAGGCGCAAGGGGTTTCAGTTTTGTTGAGGGAGCAAGGAAGAAAAATATCTATTCTCAATGTAGGTGGAGAGGGGCGCAATCATCTCTCAGACCCATAGCTTATCACCTTCCAACCGCAGAGCTGAGGGAAACTATTTATGAAACAAAGTACATTATTATTATCATTATGGGATGGAGACGCCACTTAGGTGCATATAAATGGGTAACTAAACTTGATTTCCAAGTTACTACAATATTAATTTCAGGATAGCTCCAAATATTGTCTTGCAAAGACTTTTCTCACAAGCATGGTATTGTGATTGAAACTTAATTTGTATTATCCTACATTTTTTCGCATAATTAAAAGTCTATTGTAGGAGATGTGCTTGATTCAATTTAGATTTTCAAAATAATCGTGAACTGATTTATGAAATCTTAACACAATTAGGGCTGGATAAGATCTTAGATCTTGTAAGAATTTTAATTAATGTTGTTACTAATTTGTATACAAGGCCAAAGTTTTTTTTATTTGTTTATTTACAAGTTGATCAAAGGAGAATTTGAGGAGAATCAAAGGAGGACCTGTAAATGAGGGTGCACAATAAGCTGTTACAGCTGCAATGCAATCCTATGGTCTACTTATAAGCCTGGTCCTCTGTTAAAAAAAGGAGAATTTTCTTGTTTTGGCAAATAACACTATTTCAAAGTAAGATTGCTGAGTTCATGTAAAATAATCAAAACTTGCTTTTCTATACTTAATACCTAAATACTTTTCTATACCCAAACATCACTCACCAATCCAAGAGGCCTCATCCTGGTCTATGGGGAGTGTGCTGTCAGGCATCAACATGTAGGGGAGAGCTACTGCTGTGAAGCCCAGGGACATGCCAGAGCCCAGCAGTGCGGAGTTGGCCAAACAGCATAGCAGGACCTGACACACCCAGGAATAAACATCAGAAAATTGAGAAAAACATTCCTACTAATGTGCTAACACAATAATCTTGGATGGCACAATAGAAAAAGAAGTTTAGTTTATTGGTGGAAAAAGAGTACTGGCCTTAGGAATACATTAATTGGACAACAAAGCAAGTTGATAAACAAACCTGCAGTTATCTACTAAAAATCCGAATATTTTCTGTTTTCCTGTCCAATTTTTAGAACAGTACTACTTCACATTTAAGTACTCATTCTGTTAGCCCAGGTCAACATATACAGTTCAAGGCCCCAAAGTAGGCGGCAAATGTGAATTTAATTGGTTCGGGAAGTTGCCCATTCAACAGTTGATAAGGGCATTTAATTGCAAAGTGACAGATCAATAATTCGTTGAGAAGGTAAGAGATGAGGAAAAAATGTCAAGGACTGCTTGGTGATTTAGTAGTTCTTTTAAAATCCTATTGGAAAAACAATCCAATGTATGTTATAATTTTTAAGTACTTATAGCTACTAATATTGTATAAATTTGAATCAACAAAAAAAATCTAAATATCTCTTCATCTCATAAACAGGACTAATTGCAAAGAATAATCTTCAAGGTATTCCCTAGAGAGTTCACTGGAGACGGAGAATTTTAATTCTTTGGGGTAAAATTTTCCCTAAGTAACAAAGACGAAGTAGACTTATAGTAGGAAAGAAAAGAGTCATTCTTACTAAACTGTGAATGTTTCAAAATGCTAATTCAACTAGTCCTGCTTTATGGAAAAGAAAATTTATCTCTAGGCCAAAAACTCAGAAAATAAATGTATAGCTTTTGAAATCAATATGGTCAATACGGTATATCAAATATGGTCCAATAAATGAAAATGGTGAATGGAGAATTAGAGGGAATCAAAAATTAAGAAACCTCTACCAGCATCCAGACATAGTAGCTAGCCTATATATAAATACCCCCGCCGCAGCAAACCTGCCGTCTAAGCGAATTTCCATTTGGCTGAATTGATTTTCAATCGATATATTTAAATAACATTAGGTTTAACAAGTACCTAGGTTTGCTGCTACAAGGAAACTAATAAAGTGTGTGTTTTAAGTAAAATAATTATTGCTTAGTAGAAAACGAATATATTTGCCAAGTTTGATCAAAAGGTATCCATAAACAAGCAAACTACAACATTTTACAATATTCTCCATAAAAATAACATGGGAATTTTAAATTTACAATTTTTTTAGTTTTCTCCGTAACCAATAACCGTACAAAAACACTTTAATATACTGAATTGTTTGTTATTTTAAGCTCTTTAAGAAGGTTTAGAGAAAAATTGGGAAATTTTGTGTTTTGAGGGTCAAAAGTGAGAAAAACCAATTTTTACCCCATAAAACCCCCCATAAAACCCTGTTCCCATGGTCCGATCATGCTGGATTGCGAACTCATTCAAGTTTATCCCGCCTTACACCTTCAAACCAAATTTCATCAAAATCGGATAAAAATTACTCAAGTTATCGTGTTCACGGACACATATATATATAAATCTATATATATATATATATATACATATATAAAAATTTGAACGAATGGTGTTTTTGGCCTCTGGGGACATCAAAATGAAAAAGTAAATCGGTCCCGGGCCTAAGTCTTACCATGAGACCTACGGTAATAGCTACTTCCCTATAGGGAAATTCGCTAAAAGCAGAAGATTAAGGCCTAGGGGACTCAAAAACACCTTTATAAAATATTTGAGGGGAGACCTGCAGGTACCAGACCGCTAGGAAGGGAAGACCTGCAAATACCAGACTGCTAGAAGGGGGAGACCTGCAGGTACCAGACTGCTAGAAAGGGGAGACCTGCAGGTACCAGACCGCTAGAAAGGGGAGACCTGCAGGTGCCAGACTGCTAGAAAAGGGGAGTCCTGCAGGGGCCAGACCGCTAAAAAGGGGAGACCTGCAGGTACCAGACCGCTAGAAAGGGGAGACCTGCAGGTGCCAGACTGCTAGAAAAGGGGAGTCCTGCAGGTGCCAGACCGCTAGAAAGGGGAGACCTGCAGGTGCCAGACCGCTAGAAAGGGATCAAGACCTGCAGATACCAGACTGCTAGAAAGGGAAGACCTGCAGGTACCAGACTGCTAGAAAGGGAAGACCTAAACTAGGATGGAAAGATCAAGTGGAGAAATACCTCAGGAGACCGAGAAGTATGGAGGTGCATATTTGTTGAGTTGAGACCTATTTAAATTTAAATGGACGCACGGTAAGGTAAGGTAAGAACTGACAATGTAATGGTAAAGGGTTATTTTTAGGCCTACATCTTATTTTAAATACTTATTTTAGATTAAACTGAATGTTTCCATTGAATATATTGAATGGACGGTTAAAATTTATCCATTAATTATATTCTGCATAAACTCTTGCATCCTGAAGTTATTTTACTGTCATTAAGAAAAGCTGCAAGTCTTTTGGCGAACACTAATCGTAAAAGTACTGAGATGGAGATAAATTAGCCATGATGAATGAAGATTAAAATTAGGGGTTTATAAATAAAATAACTAAAATTATAACAGTATCCACGTTTTGGCATGCAGTCAAAGTTACGACTGTATCAATGTTTACACTTGGATTGAGTTTATTTTACAGTGAAGTACTGTAGATCATTTCTAAATATGCAAAAGTTGCAATGTTCCATTTTCATTAATAAGTTGTATTGAATGATACCTTAGGTGAATGAACGTAACAAAGAATGAAGATTCATTCCAAGCTGCAATATTAATACCAGAATGATTATTGACAGCAGAAATATTGTTTCATGATAATATACTATTAATTTTTTTTTTAAATACCTACTTGTTCAACATGCTAACCAGATACAATTGTTTTATAAAATTAAATGCAAAAATAGTTAGAATTTTTTTTTAATGACATACAAAGGTAAATTCACGGTTTATTAAGAACATTAAACATGCAGTTAATTTTTGTTGTAATTCATATTCATTGATATACATTTTAGGATTTTACTCAGAGAGAGTATGTAACATTTTTAGTCCACTTTTTTACTTTTATACCTTAAGAGGTATTTTTCATTTATATTTTTAGTGTCAAAATAATTAAAATTAGAAAAAAATGTTAATTTTTTAGGCTGAGAGAAAAAAGAAATTATGAGTCAATCATTTTAATCTAAATAAATCTAAAGCAAATGTACAGCAGATTTGTCAATACATTTTTCACAGGTTTCAACAGACGAGTTATCAGTATTTCTTCCCAATGTCAATCCATCTTCTTGTGAATAGATGAAGAACACTGCTAGATAGCGCATTTCACACCAAACTAGATGTAAGGTCATCATAGAGTGTCTAAATTGTTGGGTCAAATGACTCAGTTTCATCAACTTAAATTGATCTGCTCAATTGCTCATGTAATATCGTTTGAGCACTTGGACATGACTGAATGTGACTCACAGATATACATTAAATCTCAGCTCAAATTCTTCATCTTAACCCAAGGAATTTATCTTCAACACAATCCTTAAAGTTGTATGATGATTTGGACGGTGGTGTCGTCGTAATCCAGCTACCAGAAGGTCACGAACTGCGGATATTTATAGGCATGCACTGTGGATGCGAAACTCCCTGGTGTGGATTAACGTCTGCACTAGTGAGTAGTCTACAACGACTTATCTGCAGTACTATCCTGATAATAAGACCAATTTGTTAATACCAAGGTCAAAAATCTGGTTCGGATTCCACTATAAACTGTAGGTCCCTTAGTTGCCATTAGCTATATGGGCTATTAATTAACAGCTGTGTCTAAGGAATATGATGGCCTTAGTCACTAACAAGACTACAAGATCACGCCACTCATCCTACACTCATCTCCATTCATACTTGGCTTAAAATACCTACTTTGTATCGTCGCCATTTCAATGAAAAGTATTAAAAGTATTTCCAACAACTGCTTTACCCGGTTTATCAACAGATGTTTCACTCATACACACTCTATTATCATAGACAAATTACTCTATTTGTCTATTACTCATCTGACTTATATAATTCAAGGAAACAAATAAGTAATAGTGCAATAGACCATATATGAAGTACCGTAGTTTAAGAAATTAAGCTGGGTTTTCCTAGGCGTGGAAGCGGAGAGCGGAGAGAGGAACGCAGAGAGCGGAAAAGAGATTAACATGGTGTTCCACTCCGCTTCTAGGAAAACAGTAATATTAAATTACCTAAGACAAGTTGAGTCCACTCTCCGCGTTCCTCTCTCTGCTCTCCATTTCCACGCCTAGGAAAACCCGGTTTTAACATGTTATATACCAATAGAAGTCAATAACAATCCTAAAATAGTAAATTTTTACACTTTTCAAAGTTTTTATTGGTAAAAAAGAATTAGAAAAACTGGATAATAAATACAATTTGCTTCAAATAATGAAGCTCTTCTGTTTGAATAATTCTTAAGCAGTTGGTTACAAACATACTTTTTATATGATTTCTACATTGAATTGAATATGTTATCAAATGGAATGACAAATTAATCGTTTTTCCAAGTGTTCTTAAGATTACCTGATTGCTTTTCGATTTCTTCATCATCTCCCTCCCCTCCTTCGCAGGCCGGCTGATCTGTAAAAAGATATCTAAATTACAAATACTGCAAGTGGCAACCTTCTTGAGAAACAACTTTTGAATGCCAAGTTATATATCAAGGAAGTAATTTGTCCAACAATTTGTATTCTATACACCATTGTGACAGAATGTATTTTGAAAAAAAGAAAACTTGTTAAATCTTTGGTTTATGAAAATGTGGACCATACAGTTGACATCTGGAAATACATATTGACCCTATTGATATATCATTAACTCATATTAGTGCAATCCCACTGATAAATTAAAAATTTCACTTTTAAAATATATCTTCAAGCTGGGCTAGCACTGCATCACTGCTAGGTCCCCACACTAACCCACCCACACTACCTTGTGCTGACCAGCATCTAAAGAGTTATCCAACAGCTGACAAGTATTTTTATTACTCTTCACTTTCTCTTAGCCACCAGCAAGATTTCTCATTGGTCTAATATGGTTCCCGGATGTTAAATTGAAGGGATAAGAATTTTAGGGGATAGGAACACTAAAATTAATCAATCGGGAAAAATATCAATTTAATTACAAAGAGAGAAAAATGTGTGTCATCCACTAAAAACTTGCAACCTTCTGATTACCAGGTAAGCACTATAACCACCTTGCTCATTAAACTAAGACAGCCGGTCCATATAGAGATGTCATCTTCAATACCAGTACCCAAAAGTCAATGACAGTATACTTGTTTGTATGATGGAACCTGTCTCGTGACCTGGGACTAGCTCGGGCCTTAAACCATTGACCAGTCCCCTCGAGGGTCAGGATACAAGTTCCTTCAAGCAGACTATAATGGAATTAAATCTAAGAAAATAATCTTATCCAACCTCATCTATGTGATGTTATTGTTAATGATTGATAGACATACACATACAGCCTCTGTCTGCTGTCAGTCTAAAAACAGGTTGTTTTGTGTTGTCTCAGTGTGCTCAATATTGACCTTGAGTTGTAAGTGTGTGTGTTGTTCAATGTTGAGTCACTGTCTTCTTTGCTTTAGCTTGTCTATGTAATCAACATGTAAGTTTCAGCACGTGTAATGCCTAGATTCATCATTCAACAGATTACATAACTTACCAGCGTTTTAGACCCAGACTACTGTAGAGTGTTTACTTTGTGATTTAAACTTCGAAATCTTGCTAATGTTGTATTTTCACCTCATATTAATCTTGAAATGCTAAAATGGGAATAAAATATTTTGTAAATTTTGTGGTAGAGCTTTTGGAGCATGGTTATACAATGATAAAATGGTTCTTTACATTTTTTTTAGCCTGCACATATTTTGAGAAAAATGTCAAGTAAAGCACACATGTATTTTTTACGCCGTCACCAAATAGCTATACTGTAGATGGATTTGGTGGTTCGTAAAATATTTTTCATTCCTTTAAAATGTTCAACAAGCTCAAAAATGAACTGTGCCAATTTATTGTGTTTTTGGTGGGTTTTTTTTTATGTAGATGAAACATATCATTGAAAGTGTTTTTTTCCTAGTCAATGTGTAGTCATGAATCTACACTAAAAATTAAAGGGTAATTGACCTAAATTTTTGGGCAACCATACCAATTTATTAACAATTTTTAATCAGGTTAGGTTGTAAAAGGTTTTTGTTACTTTCGCTAAACAAACCATTATTCATATCTCTGAATTGTGGGAAATGTGAGGATTTCTTTTACAAAAGAAAGATACATTTGTTTTGTAAGCAATGACCTGTGTTTCTGACCCTAATGATAAAAACACTGCAGCATCCAACTGAGTCAATCTTATATAAACATTATCATTACATTGAGTAAGGGACATAATTCTGTGTGATTAAATATCCTGTAGTAGAACAGATCAAAAGCCCAATTTAAGTAGATGACTATTGCAAGTGTATACTTTTAAGAAATATCACCTAAAATAGTTTTACTTAGTGCAAGTATAAGCCCTATACAAATCATTGATGGAATCCACACGACTAACTTTGGAAACCGAGTGGAAAGAAAACTCTAAATTAAAGCGTTGAAACTAAGCAAAGCGTTCACACAGGAAGTTATAAACATGTTGGCCGCGGCTGCCCAGTGTTACCAACATATGGGAGAGAGGCGGTGTGACGTGGATTAATATGACTGTTTATATATATATGATAAACGTTCCGCACAAATTTGAATAATCGTAATCCTTCTATGCTTTTAGAACTTAGAAAGAGGTAAATGTAATAGAGCCAACACATTTAGTGAAAAGTTGTGAAATAAAATGCACTGAGCTTTTACTATCAGTGTTAACTATTTTCAAAAATTAAACTTTAAAGATGTTTTAGATCAGTATGTAAAGAATTCGGAGGTCCCCAGTGAATATCTTTGTTGGGCCCCTGAATGATCTATCTGTACCTAGTATAAATTGAATAAATTACGAAATTATGGTTCATCCTAACGAGCTGTTTATACAAACTAACGATTTTGTTATATGACAGTGTAGTTTACGACTTGATAACACTTGAACTTGAAGCTTTGTTTACGTTTTCAGGTATTCTTATCTCCTCTCGCTGGGTGAACGCCCCCATATTATTCTTGTAATCATCTCACAACTCTTGTCTCCAAAACGCTGAAAACTTGGTCTTAAGTTAGTTTTTCAACGTTTACAAAAGACATTTTTTTAATCTGTATGAGATTTCTGCTAAGATTGTTTATCTCTTTCAGTTGAAATAGTCCAAAATTTTGTTTAAGTAAAGATCCTTATTTCTAAGATCTTCCTTAGAATCTTCCTAAGAAATAAAAAATTAACAACACACTAACCGGACAGAATAACCCTATAATTGTGCTTAGATTATGAGAATGGTAAATGTACAAGGGGTGTTAAGCCATTTAGTTTGAATATATCAAGTAAACTCTCATCCCATTGTTAAATTTAAAGTGTGTGTTATAGTTAAAGGTAGTTAATGTAATAAGTTATAGTTTAAAGTTATAGCGTTGATAGTCACAGTTTTGTTGATAGTCAAAGGTTATAGCCAAGGCCCCACTAGTCACCCTCTATCTGAATCGGAAAAAAACCTTTAATACCCCCGCCGCAGCAAACCTGCCGTCTAAGCGAATTTCCATTTGGCTGAATTGATTTTCAATCGATCTATATTTAATTATCATTAGGTTTAACGAGTACCTAGGTTTGCTGCTTCAAGGAAACTAATAAAGTGTGTGTTTTAAGTAAAATAATTATTGCTTAGTAGAAATTAATATATTTGCCAAGTTTGAACAAAAGATATCCATAAACAAGCAAACTACAACATTTTATAATATTCTCCATAAGAATAACATGGGAATTTTAAATTTACAATTTTTTTAGTTTTCTCCGTAACCAATAACCGTACAAAACGACTTTGATATACTGAATTGTTTGTTTTTTTTAAGCTCTTTAAGAAGGCTTAGAGAAAAATTGGGAAATTTTGTGTTTTGAGGGTCAAAAGTGAGAAAAACCAATTTTTACCTCATAAAACCCCCCATAAACCCCTGTTCCCATGGTCCGATCATGCTGGATCGCGAACTCATTCAAGTTTATTCCGCCTTACACCTTCAAACCAAATTTCATCAAAATCGGATAAAAATTACTCAAGTTATCGTGTTCACGGACACACATATATACAGGGTGAATTTTAAATGAGTCCCCCCCCTACTTTTTTCTACATTTCTTAAGATATCATCTCCGGACCACGTCAGATCATTGTTGAGTAGTAAGTACTTCATTTTGACTGGGTATACATTTTTGGCCGCCATCTTGGATCCGCCATATTGGATACAAAGTTTTTTTTTCAAATGTAAAGGTGGGGTTGTGACCCATTATTTCAAACTAGAATTTTACGCTGATTACAATGCCGCAATTAGTTTTTAAAAATCTTCATCCGTTCTAAAGTTATGAGGAATTTTTATAACTTTATTTTTAGCCCATTTTAACATTGTGCATTAACAAACTAAGACCATAATCTCAAAATAGTGCTAGATAAAGATAAGTATACACCACCATTCATTGTTGTCATATTTTCACTTGGTTATGACGGATGTAGTTTTTTCAGCCGCCATCTTGGATCCGCCATTTTGAAATGTGATCAATTAATTTAAATATGAAGGTGGTGTTGTGACCCATCATTTTGAACTACTTTTTTATACTGGACTCAATGCCTTAATCCGTTTTTGGTTATCAAGCTTACTTGATCAAATATTAAAATACTCTTATTTAAAATTTCAATATTTCAAAATCCAAAGATGCAAATGAAAAACGAATTGCGGCATTGAGTTCAGCATAAAAAAGTAGTTCAAAATGATGGGTCACAACACCACCTTCATATTTAAATTAATTGATCACATTTCAAAATGGCGGATCCAAGATGGCGGCTGAAAAAAATACATCCGTCATAACCAAGTGAAAATATGACAACAATGAATGGTGGTGTATACTTATCTTTATCTAGCACTATTTTGAGATTATGGGCTTAGTTTGTTAATGCACAATGTTAAAATGGGCTAAAAATAAAGTTATAAAGATTCCTCATAACTTTAGAACGGATTAAGATTTTTAAAAACTAATTGCGGCATTGTAATCAGCGTAAAATTTTAGTTTAAAATAATGGGTCACAACCCTACCTTTACATTTGAAAAAAAAAACTTTGTATCCAATATGGCGGATCCAAGATGGCGGCCAAAAATGTATACCCAGTTAAAATGAAGTACTTACTACTCAACAATGATCTGAAGTGGTCCGGAGATGATATCTTAAGAAATGTAAAAAAAAGTAGGGGGGGAACTCATTTAAAATTCACCCTGTATAAATCTATATATATATATACATATACATATATAAAAATTTGAACGAATGGTGTTTTTGGCCTCTGGGGACATCAAAATGAAAAAGTAAATCGGTCCCGGGCCTAAGTCTTACCATGAGACCTACGGTAATAGCTACTTCCCTATAGGGAAATTCGCTAAAATGATGATCAGCTGATTCATAAGGATGACAAAACTAAGACG